CGCATTAAATTTTGTAATAAATTCTTGGAGCTATAGCTTAATTAACTTCTAATTATTAAGCACCACTTTCTATTGGATGTAAATTCCCGTTCTAAGAAATTGTTTTAAATAATCCAGAAAACAAAAATATTAATTAATGATAAAAATGAAAATGATCTTAAATCGTAAATGCGCATTCTGAATTAAGTAGTGAGAGATAGAACGGATTCGGAACAATTTCACACTCCAATTCTCACGTTTCCTTGATCGGTGCAAAGAGAAAAATGAGAAGATCAAGACTCAAGACTCAAGAGCGAGGAGAACTGAAACGATCGCGTAAATCATAAGAAGGAAAATAAGAAGGATAAAGGATACCGTTAGATGAGGTGGTTTTCGTTTTTGAAGGATAAATACGGTTAAAAGTTAGTAACTAATAAATGGTGTGGTTGAGAAATTGTAATAATCAAAACCTTCCCCGTCATCTTTTATACAATGGATAAATAACGAAAAAGAAAATCAATGGATACGTCTTCGTTCCGTTCCCGATTACGTCTTAATTGATTTTTCGATCGATTTCACTTATTATTTTTTATTACCTATTGTCGGTTTTTATTTAATGTCACCCGATGGTTGATATTAATTTAGATTGCGTTCCAACATCTTCTTCTCCGACGTCTTCAAATAAACACACGCTATTTGATGAGAAGGTTGTTGTGCAATCCGGATAGGGAGTACCAGGAAACGATCATCTCTCCTCCTATGGATGGATGTAAAGTGGTTATTGTGAGGTGATATTGCGTCGTCGAGAAAGAGAAAGACCTTTAACAATTATTGTCGGAGAGAGGACGAGAACTGACTGGCTATTTACAGCTTCGAGAATTCGTGACGGCCCATCACCATTCGACCTCGACGATAGTTAACTCTAAGGATTTATTAGCTGTTACTTACAGGATTAAGTTACCTATCCGCATTGTCACGGATTATGATCATTTCAACCTGATATCAATCAATAAATTCGATTTTATACTAACCTTATCTCTTTTACCACTTATCAAAGACACTTGAGAACTTTAGAAAATCGTCAATGACAGATTTTTGTGTCAAATTAAAGCTTAAATCTTCCTTTTTCAGAAAACATATAATTAATTGTTTCAATTTGAAATGGATTTTATCAAAAAACTTTTGAACACAACCATGCATATTTATGTTTAAACCCAAACATCCTCCTGGAGATCTTATTCTTCACAATTATGAAATGAGTCTTGTATCAAATTAAAGCTAAAACCTTCCTCTTTAAGAAAACATATAATTAATTGTTTCAATTTGAAGAGAACTTTATCAAAAAAACTTTTAAAGATAACCATGCACAAGTAAAATCATAGAATCCAAACATATCTTAAAAAAATCATTCTAAACTTATTTTTCGGTAAAAATAAATAATATACACATTAAATTAAAGCTCAAAGTTTCCTTTTTAAGATGATATATAACTCGTTAGGTTCTATGAAAAACTTTTTGAGATACAACTTAAAAGTTAATAGTCTAAATTTTAGGGTTTCTAAAAAAATCATAAATTTGAACGTAAACTTTAAAAAATCGTTCTAACCTTACTTTTTGGTGTAAAGTGGTCCCTTATATCTTGGATTAAAGCTAAAAGCTTCTTCTTCAAAACTTAAAACGATACATCACGTATTAGATTTTATAATAAATTCTTGGAGATATAGCTTAAAAATTGGAAACCTGAATTTTGATGTTTTTAATAAATTAGCTTAAAATTAAAAAAATCATATTAAATTTATTTCTTGGTATAAAGAAGTGACTTATATGTCAGATTAAAGCTAAATGCTTCCTCTTTAAGATGATATATCGCGCATTAGATTTTATAATAAATTCTTGGAGATATAGCTTAAAAATTGGAAATTTGAATTTTGACGTTTTTAATAAATTAACTTAAAATTGAAAAAATCATATTAAATTTATTTCTTCGTATAAAAAAGTGACTTATATGTCAGATTAAAGCTAAAAGCTTCCTCTTTAAGATGATATATCACGCATTAGATTTTATAATAAATTCTTGGAGATATAACTTAAAAATTGGAAACCTGAATTTTGACGTTTTTAATAAATTAACTTAAAATTTAAAAAATCATATTAAATTCATTTCTTGGTATAAAGAAGTGACTTATATATCAGATTAAAGCTAAAAGCTTCCTCTTTAAGGTGATATATCACGCATTAAATTTTATAATAAATTCTTGGAGATATAGCTTAAAAATTGGAAACCTGAATTTTGACGTTTTTAATAAATTAACTTAAAATTTAAAAAATCATACTAAATTTATTTCTTGGTATAAAAAAGTGACTTATATGTCAGATTAAAGCTAAAAGCTTCCTCTTTAAGATGATATATCACTCATAAAATTTTATAATGAACTCGTGGAGATATAGCTTAAGAATTGGAAAGCTGAATTTTGACGTTTTTAATAAATTAACTTAAAATTAAAAAAATCATATTAAATTCATTTCTTGGTATATAGAAGTGGCTTATATATCAGATTAAAGTTAAAAGCCTCCTCTTTAAGATGATGTATCACTCATAAAATTTTATAATAAATTCTTGGAGATATAGCTTAAAAATTGGAAACCTGAATTTTGACGCTTTTAATAAATTAACTTAAAATTTAAAAAATCGTGTTAAATTTATTTCTTGGTATAAAGAAGTGACTTATATGTCAGATTAAAGCTAAAAGCTTCCTCTTTAAGATGATATATCACGCATTAGATTTTATAATAAATTCTTGGAGATATAGCTTAAAAATTGGAAATTTGAATTTTGACGTTTTTAATAAATTAACTTAAAATTTAAAAAATCATATTAAATTTATTTCTTGGTATAAAAAAGTGACTTATATGTCAGATTAAAGCTAAAAGCTTCCTCTTTAAGATGATATATCACGCATTAGATTTTATAATAAATTCTTGGAGATGTAGCTTAAAAATTGGAAAATTGAATTTTGACGTTTTTAATAAATTAACTTAAAATTCAAAAAATCGTATTAAATTTATTTCTCGGTATATAGAAGTGACTTATATGTCAGATTAAAGCTAAAGGCTTCCTCTTTAAGATGATATATCACTCATACAATTTTATAATAAATTCTTGGAGATATAGCTTAAAAATTGAAAAAATGAATTTTGACGTTTTTAATAAGTTAACTTAAAATTAAAAAAATCATATTAAATTCATCTCTTGGTATATAGAAGTGGCTTATATATCCTATTAAAGCTAAAAGCCTCCTCTTTAAGATGATATATCACTCATAAGATTTTATAATAAATTCTTGGAGATATAGCTTAAAAATTGGAAATTTGAATTTTGAGGTTTTTAATAAATTAACTTAAAATTGAAAAAATTATATTAAATTTATTTCTCGGTTTAAAAAAGTGACTTATATGTCAGATTAAAGCAAAAAGCTTCCTCTTTAAGATGATATATCACTCATAAAATTTTATAATAAATTCTTGGAGATATAGCTTAAAAATTAGAAACCTGAATTTTGATGTTTTTAATAAATTAGCTTAAAATTAAAAAAATCATATTAAATTTATTTCTTGGTATAAAAAAGTGACTTATATGTCAGATTAAAGCTAAAAGCTTCCTCTTTAAGATGATATATCACTCATAAAATTTTATAATAAATTCTTGGAGATATAGCTTAAAAATTGGAAACCTGAATTTTGACGTTTTTAATAAATTCACATAAAATTTAAAAAATCATATTAAATTTATTTCTTGGTATAACGAAGTGACTTATGTGTCAGATTAAAGCTAAAACCTTCCTCTTTAAGATGATATATCACTCATAAAATTTTATAATAAATTCTTGGAGATATAGCTTAAAAATTGGAAATTTGAATATTGAGGTTTTTAATAAATTAACTTAAAATTGAAAAAATCATATTAAATTTGTTTCTTGGTATAAAAAAGTGACTTATATATCAGATTAAAGCTAAAAGCTTCCTCTTTAAGATGATATATCACGCATTAAATTTTATAATAAATTCTTGGAGATATAGCTTAAAAATTGGAAACCTGAATTTTGACGCTTTTAATAAATTAACATAAAATTTAAAAAATCATATTAAATTCATTTCTTGGTATAACAAAGTGACTTATATGTCAAATTAAAGCTAAAAGCTTCCTCTTTAAGATGATATATCACTCATAAAATTTTATAATGAACTCTTGGAGATATAACTTAAGAGTTAGAAGCCTGAATTTTGACGTTTTCAATAAATTAACTTTAAAACTATTTTTCTGCTTCATTTTTTAACATTAAATCCCAAATTTGACACGTCAACTCAAAATTCTTCAACGATTCCAACAAAGAAAACCAAATTGCGACATCTCCTTCAGTTTTTGAGAAATCCCCTTTTAATCTTAATTTAAAAAGATATTTATTAGTACTAACTGTACCCGAACGTTAAATGATTCAGCATCGACCTAAAATGTCGAGTACAAATCGTATGATTCGTGTTGTAGTAAACGCATTCCGTTAGAAATGTTTACGGTAAGATCCCATCTGAGGACGTCGATCGTACACGTAGTTCTGAATAAATTAGCATTAATTCAACGCGGGTAATTACGCGTATAGGCGAGTATTTGGTTCTCAAATTATCAAAGATCTTACTTACTTATTACATCCTGGTCTTTGGCTCCTCAACACAATTATTGATTTGAGATACATAAACATTTAAATATTAAATACGCCTATTTGTAGGTCATTTATAACACAGGAAATGTTTAAATATAAAATAATCCCGTAGAAATGTAAAAAGACTTCTTTCGATTATGATTTCAATTATTATTTTACGCCTGGTGTTGGTGCGAGTAGACTACTGAAACCGCAAACTGTAATTGCTGCGTTTCTTGCCGACTTTGAGCCCTGAAATGAGAACAAAGTAGGCTTAATATCACGTTTTCTTTTATGTCGGTAATTTTTTTTGTTGTTGATTTGCAGGAAAATCGTTTTCAATTACCATAACAGTCTCTACGGATCCCCCTCAAGTTGCAACCTACAATAAAGCCATCAAAGTTACGGTGGATGGTCCGCGAGAACCTCGCTCTAAGTCAAGTAAGTAGAAATAAATTAGCCCTTTGACATACCTGAACAATTATAATTAATTCGAGTATGCTTAGAAGTCAAACAAGACGTAATTTAATCTAATGGGAAGAAATATTCAGGGATAAGACATTGTTACGTGGATGTTTACGCAAATTGTTACGTCTTGATTTGCGTCAATAAAAAATGTTCGGGGAAACTTTATAATAAATAAAGTTTCGCTGAAATTAATTAAATTGTTTTTTTCTCTATTGTTTTACTCTATTTTTTAATTCGGAGGAATGATTCTAGTTTAAAATTTTTTTTTAATAAAATTTATTAAAAGTAATAATTTGGGGTTAAAGATCGTCAAAAATCCTTTATTTTGATACCAAACTCGATATATTTCCGTTAAAACCCAAAAAAGTTAGTTTAAAAACCATCAAACGTCAAATTAAAAAATTCAATTGTTTTTTTTTAATTAAAAAGTGATATCTCCGAAACGATTAGAGATAAATAGGTGGTGTTTGGGCTCTTTTCAAATAAATTTTTGATTTCTTACTTAATTTCGTGTTAAATTTTCTTTATTTTTATTTTTCAAAAATTTTTTCAATAAATTTTTTTTAACAAAATTTATTAAAAAGAAGAATTTGGGGTTAAAGATGATTAAAAATGCTTCATTTTGACACCAAACTCGATATATTTCCGTTAAAACCCAACAAGTTAGCTTAAAAAATTCAATTGTTTTTTTTAATTAAAAATTGATATCTCCGAAACGATTGGAGATAAACACGTCGAGTTTGTACTCGTTTCAAACAACTTTTTGATTTCTTACTTAATTTTTTAGTAATTTCACCAAAAATTTGACCTGATTTTACTCCTTCGAATTAAAAAATAGACTAATAACGGCGATTTAAATAATTTATGGAATTAATCTGCAATCCCGTTGAGGATTATTTGTCGTTCTGGGGCAAATAACGCGGATTTAAACGCGCGCATTACGGTTAGGTTATATTATTAATTAAACCAGCTGACAAACCGCGAAATTGACAATATTTGGATCCGGGGAAACGGTCCGAATACCGGAATAATTATTTCGATATCAAATTCAACGTCCGGATAGAAACGCGCGGTCACGCCAAAAACGGCGAGCACCCAAACCAGCGCGTTGCTGATGACAGCACCACTGATGTCATTAAGCCCTTGCCTCGGCCTACAATCGGATCGGAAATTCCATTAGCAAATTCGGGCTTGCCTCGCTTGGCCGTTTTGATTAAATCGGCGTCCAAAGGTCGTCTGTCGCAAATTTTCTCAAACATTCAAAATTGGTCGCGTTGCCGACAGAGATTCGGAGATTGGATTCGGACGTGCGCTATTTCGATTCATCATTATCGAAGATCAGAAGTCCGGATTCTATTTGATGCAGCCCCGACACACAACGTGTCATTACGCGGTGGTTTTCGGAGTAATTTCTGTTACCCACCTTGTTGCTACCGGATGGCGAGCTGACCTCGACCACTTCTTTTTCACTTTCTTTTATTCCCCGGCACTCTTCTTCTCACGAGGATACCATGCAATACCCAGGTGCTTTATTACTTCTCACTCAATGATAAAAAATATAAAACAAAATTCATTTTTCTATTCTCATTCGAGTTAAACAAGACAAAGAATTTTATTATTTCTGCGCCATATGTCATCGTAGCAATTACTTACACTCGCATATGTTCGTAATTATTTTTGTGAAATGGAACAATAGTCATCGAGGGCCTCCTTTTTCAGATCGACTTCTTCCGTTGTGCAGAAACGAAATTGTTTTGGGGGTAATTTTCAACACGCAAATGTCGGAACGACGCTTTATAAAAAGAACTAAACAATACGAGTATAATTTTCCTATTCATTTTCAGCAACTAACTTTTACCCTCGTTTTCTACCTACTTTAGAAGCCGATATCTACGTTGTCTTTAGACGAAATTGTATCAATACAAAGCCTGATTTTTTTTTTCGTCTAAAACGTTATTTGACGAATTTGTCACCTCATAATCTTCATCTAAAAATTGTGTCATATCCTATATATATACAGGGTGGTTCAAATTCGATGTCCAAATAGGCTAACTCGGAAACTATAAGAGTTAGAAAAAAAGTAGCTTACACGTCATGATCTCGTTTTTCGAGAAACTGCTAATGCCGAAAACCTCAAAGCGCTATCGTCTTTTGTTTTTTCCCTAGAGGCCAAAATTGAAAATACCGTAAAACCAACAAGTGCAATTATCTTGTTTATTATTATAGGTGGAGTATTATAACTAAGACATTATATGGACACTTTTTTACAGAGAATTTCATGACGTAGTCAAAAAAATTTTTTCGGTTTTAGATTTTGAGATATCATGACAATTTTGGTTTTTTTAAACGGAAACAACCACTGATTATTCGCTTATTAAATTCGTTATTTTTTTCTGATTGCAAAAATATAGGGTTTTATGGGTCTATTTCTTATTGTTTTAGAATAAAGCTAAAATTAAACTTTTTTTTAGTGTCATTAAAGAAATTGAATTTACAGTTTCCTGTAAATTATAACTAAAAATTAAAAAAACATATTTCTCATATTTGAAACAAAAACATTTGTTAATTATTTAATTTATATTTGTTTTACACAAAAGTTGGAATAAATTGCATTATTTCACATTTTTTTTATTAATTCAAATAAACAGAGCAACATTTGTTTGTATTCAAAAATGTTCTGAAGTGTCAAATTAAAAATCCTGTTTTTTTAAGATGGATTATGAAAATTACCAAAAATTTAACATGTTAGAATGTTACATATTAGAAAATAAAGTAAATTTTATATACATTTTTAATAGAATAATTTTTAGTTACAATACCGTAATTTACAGGAAACTGTAAAATTAATTTCTTTGACACTAAAAAAAAAGTTTATTTTTAGCTTTATTCTAAAACAATAAGAGAAAAAAATAACGAATTTAATAAGCGAGTGGTTGTTTCCATTTAAAAAAAAACGAAACCTGTACATAAAATAACAAGATAAAAACACAACAAAAAATAAATATAGATTTCTTTTTTTTTTAGTGCTATTATTGAAATCAAAACCCAACATTTTTGCATTTAACACGAAAATGGTGATTTTTATCAATATTATCTAAGAGTAATAAAAGTTTCTAAACTAAATTTACTATTAGAAACTGCAAAAATAAATGTAGGGTTATGATAGAATAAAAAATTCTGAGCAAACAAACTTTAGGAACAGCCTGTATAGCATTGTTCCCGCGGACCGATCGAACTCATAAATTGCTTAACGATTTTACATCACATTGATATATACTGTACTAAATTTCAGCGCTTTACTGTAAATAGTGTTTAAGATATTTGGAAAAATGTATTCAAATTTCGTAACTTTGATGGCCTGTATCTTTGAAATTTGAAGACTTTTACTAATTTTTTTTTTACATGAATTGTCATCATTTTCATTGTAGTATTCTAATATATGTGGATAAATTTGTTGCCCGAGTTACCGTCTTTTATAGTTTTTGGGAGGATCTTTTTGAAATTTTACCCATTTTTACTTTCTATCTAGAAAATAGTGATAGTCAGATTTGAAATCTTTATGGAAATATATTTTTGGGTTCATTCTAAACAATTTTTATCAACGCCGCTTTCCTCCATCACGTTTAATTTTTGACTTATTCCCAAATTAAGCAACAAATATAGTCCATTTTAAGATTTTGGGGATTTTTGCTTTCTACCTAAAAAATGGAGATAGCTAAGTTTGAGATGTTTATGAAAATATTTTATTGGGTTAGTTCTAAACTATTTTCACCCATGCAATTTTATTCTATCAGGTTTAATTTTTGAATCATCCACGATTTTATCGACAAATAACGTTCATTTTAAGATTTTAGGGATTTTTGCTTTCCACCTAGGAAATAACGATAACTAGGATTAAGGTGATTATGGAAATGTTTTTTTGGACTCAATCTAAACGATTTTTATCCATACCTTCTTTCTCTATTAGTTTTACTTTTTGAGATATTCATTTAAGAATTATTAGACAATCATGAGATGTAGTGCAACCGAATTGAAATATTGAAAATTTGCGGTGTTACCAAATACCCAATTTACGTGCGTTAGTAATGGGAAAACCGTAACGCGATCAATTGATTATGAATTCGGCCACTAATGCGCTGTCCAAACCAGAATCCAATCGGTACAGGTTAATGTTTCAATTGCAAGTTTTCGTCGTCTGCGGCGCTATGACCTCTCTCCACCATTTCCACCATAACACACCATCACCGTATGACAAATTGATACGGTTCATCCATCCCCCCGTGAAAACGCCTCCAACCCCACCACGTCCAGCTCAATCCGACGGTAAATGGTGTAATTATTTTCAAAATAATGAGACTGTAATTGCAGCAATAGCAGATTTGTAAATTGCTAATCTATCGCATTTGTCAATGATTGAAACGCAGTTGCGTAGTTAGCGTCGAAGCCGCCGTTTGTTTGGGGGCGTTGTATTCTAATCAGAACCGTACTTAAATTATTTTATTCCAATCTTATTAATAACCCATTTTCGCTATAACATAGAATTGTTAATTTAATGATTTTTGAGATTTGGGGAAACTTTGGATTTTGTTTTTTGATTAAATCCGCTTGTATCGCAGTCGTGGTACGGCCCTGTTTAGGTCCCAACAAGCTTCCACATGCATCTGCGTAACCGGTTGTATAATAGAGACGTGAAACAACGCCAGCACGGTCCTAATGCATCCGAATAGTTGGCAGGCTACTGCAGTATACAACCCCAATATATGATTAGTTTTCGCTATGAGATTGCTTATTGTCGATAATTGCCGCGCTCGGATCCCGTAATGGAACGCTTGGTTCCAAGCTAATGACCGATTAGCACAATAATAAATAGCTAAAATTAAGTTAAATTGGAAAAAATTATCTTGTTTATATAAGAATATTGGTGAGAATGTTCTGGGTTTTAAGATAAGTGGTAAATTTCCTGTGATAAAACCAAGTTGATATAAAAATAATACGGGAAAAAATTATTTTTGTGTTCTCACACTTTCAAAATCGTTTAGAATGAGTCCAAATAACATTTCCATAATCACCTCAATCGTGGTTACCTTTTTTTCCTAGGTGGAAAGCAAAAATCCCTAAAATCTTAAAATGATCGTTATTTGTCGATAAAATCGTGTATGATTCAAAAATTAAACCTGATAGAATAAAATTGCATGGGTAAAAATAGTTTAGAATTAACCCAACAAAATATTTTCATAAACATCTCAAACTTAGCTATCTCCATTTTCTAGGTAGAAAGAAAAAATCTCCAAAATCTTAAAATGGACTATATTTGTTGCTTAATTTTGGAATAAGTCAAAAATTAAACGTGATGGAGGAAAGCGGCGTTGATAAAAATTGTTTAGAATGAACCCAAAAATATATTTCCATAAAGATTTCAAATCTGGCTATCACTATTTTCTAGATAGAAAGGAGAAATGGTTAAAATTTCAAAAAAGTTGATCATTAAAATCGAAACTAATAGAGAAAGAAGGTATGGATAAAAATCGTTTAGAATGAGTCCAAAAAAACATTTCCATAATCACCTTAATCCTAGTTATCGTTTTTTCCTAGGTGGAAAGGAGAAATCCCTAAAATCTTAAAAAGAATGTTATTTGTCGATAAAATGGTGTATGATTCAAAAATTAAACCTGATAGAATAAAATTGCATGGGTGAAAATTGTTTAGAACTAACCCAATAAAATATTTTCATAAACATCTCAAACTTAGCTATCTCCATTTTTTAGGTAGAAAGAAAAAATCCCCAAAATCTTAAAATGGACTATATTTGTTGCTTAATTTGGGAATAAGTCAAAAATTAAACGTGATGGAGGAAAGCGGCGTTGATAAAAATTGTTTAGAATGAACCCAAAAATATATTTCCATAAAGATTTCAAATCTGGCTATCACTATTTTCTAGATAGAAAGGAAAAATGGTTAAAATTTCAAAAAGGTTGATCATTAAAATCGAGAATATCTCAAAAAGTAAAACTAATAGAGAAAGAAGGTATGGATAAAAATCGTTTAGAATGAGTCCAAAAAAACATTTCCATAATCACCTTAATCCTAGTTATCGTTATTTCCTAGGTGGAAAGCAAAAATCCCTAAAATCTTAAAATGAACGTTATTTGTCGATAAAATCGTGGATGATTCAAAAATTAAACCTGATAGAATAAAATTGCATGGGTGAAAATAGTTTAGAACTAACCCAACAAAATATTTTCATAAACATCTCAAACTTAGCTATCTCCATTTTTTAGATAGAAAGCAAAAATCCCTAAAATCTTAAAATGGACTATATTTGTTGCTTAATTTGGGAATAAGTCAAAAATTAAACGTGATGAAGGAAAGCAGCGTTGATAAGAATTGTTTAGAATGAACCCAAAAATATATTTCCATAAAGATTTCAAATCTGGCTATAACTATTTTCTAGATAGAAAGAAAAAATGATTAAAATTTCAAAAAGGTTGATCATTAAAATCGAGAATATCTCAAAAAGTAAAACTAATAGAGAAAAATGGTATGGATCAAAATCGTTTAGAATGAGTCCAAAAAAACATTTCCATAATCACCTTAATCCTAATTATCGTTTCTTCTTAGGTGGAAAGGAAAAATCCCTAAAATCTTAAAATGATCGTTATTTGTCGATAAAATCGTGGATGATTCAAAAATTAAACCTGATAGAATAAAATTACATGGGTGAAAATTGTTTAGAACTAACCCAATAAAATATTTTCATAAACATCTCAAACTTAGCTATCTCCATTTTTTAGGTAGAAAGCAAAAATCCCCAAAATCTTAAAATGGACTATATTTGTTGCTTAATTTGGGAATAAATCAAAAATTAAACGTGATGGAGGAAAGCGGCGTTGATAAAAATTGTTTAGAATGAACCCAAAAATATATTTCCATAAAGATTTCAAATCTGGCTATAACTATTTTCTAGATAGAAAGGAAAAATGGTTAAAATTTCAAAAAGGTTGATCATTAAAATCGAGAATATCTCAAAAAGTAAAACTAATAGAGAAAGAAGGTATGGATAAAAATCGTTTAGAATGAGTCCAAAAAAACATTTCCATAATCACCTCAATCCTAGTTATCGTTTTTTCTTAGGTGGAAAGCAAAAATCCCTAAAATCTTAAAATGAACGTTATTTGTCGATAAAATCGTGTATGATTCAAAAATTAAACCTGGTAGAATAAAATTGCATGGGTAAAAACAGTTTAGAACTAACCCAATAAAATATTTTCATAAACTTCTCAAACTTAGCTGTCTCCATTTCGTAGGTAGAAAGAAAAAATCTCCAAAATCTTAAAATGGACTATATTTGTTGCTTAATTTTGGAATAAGTCAAAAATTAAACGTGATGGAGGAAAGCGGCGTTGATAAAAATTGTTTAGAATGAACCCAAAAATATATTTCTATAAAGATTTCAAATCTGGCTATCACTATTTTCTAGATAGAAAGAAAAAATGGTAAAAATTTAAAAAAGGTTGGTCATTAAAATCGAGAATATCTCAAAAAGTAAAACTAATAGAGAAAGAAGGTATGGATAAAAATCGTTTAGAATGAGTCCAAAAAAACATTTCCATAATCACCTTAATCCTAGTTATCGTTTTTTCTTAGATGGAAAGGAAAAATCCCTAAAATATTAAAATGAACGTTATTTGTCGATAAAATCGTGTATGATTCAAAAATTAAACCTGATAGAATAAAATTGCATGGGTAAAAATAGTTTAGAACTAACCCAATAAAATATTTTCATAAACATCCCAAACTTAGCTATCTCCATTTTTTAGGTAGAAAGAAAAAATCTCCAAAATCTTAAAATGGTGGATGGTGATGGAGAAAAGCGGCGTTGATAAAAATGGTTTAAAATGAGCCCATAAAAGCATATAATTCATCCAATAACTAGAAAAGATCAAAACCCAACCCAACTTTGCATTAAACAACCTTTCATTAAAGATATTAGCCTTGAAATATATAAATTTTCCTAATAATTATGAAAAGAAGTGGTTTTCTCCATCTTAACGTATAACGAGTAATCTAATTTTTATTATTTTTTAATTCAATCTTTAAACTTTATATGTATGTAATTAAAGTAACTAAATTTGAATTATTTTAAATTTAAAAATTTCCCGCCAAAACTAATATGGCCGATTTCAAAACCACCAACTTAAAATAACAAAAATTAAATTAAAAAAAAATTTTAATTAACATCATTTTTCGCGTAATTTTAATTAATTTAATTTCCGATTTTATTAAATTAATTAATTAAAAACTTCGATACAAAAATTCGGTTTTATTTTTGTTTTAATTTTAGATTAAAATTAATTTTTTGACGTTTGAGGTTATGTTATGAATAGTCAAAACGTTTGGGAGCGTTTAAGGTACACTTTTTTTAATCTTTCAGATCCTCAACATACGTACAGAGCGATAGGATTAGGTCAAAGACCGTACATAGATTCGTCGTTTCCACAACACGTTAGAGAATTGGATTCTTATCGAAGAAAAGTTCCGAGTTGTCAGAGTAACGAGATTTCGCAAAGTTATAAAACTGAATCTCAAGGTAAGAAAAGTTACTTAAGTATACTTTTCAATAATCCAACGTTTTTGAAATTACCTATATATCGAGTTAATTACTACACCCTCCTGACAGGTCTTAAATAAGCGGAGGGGTCTTTGCGAGTTAACTTGGCACTGTTTTGGATGTCAAAATGTCTTGGAGTCGATGTTAATTATAAAGTGTCAAGTGCACCCCGCTTTTCTTATATACCCGCGGTTTGGGGCAACATTTAGACCCAAGTTTAATAGAAATGGAACTTTAGAAACTTCTTGGTTGTGAATTATCAAAAATGTTTTTGAAATTTATGTATTTCTTTTGAAATTGAGTTGTGGAAACCGCAACAAATTCTGCTTGTCATTGTATTTTTTTATGTATAAGATTGCGGTAAGTATTGTTGATGTATTTATAAATGTTTAAGTATAATTTTTTTTGTAATCAAAGAAGGATAAATAAGTACGTGTAGCTTCTGAGAGATGGTTTCAGAAATAGTGTCGGTGGACAAGAAAATGAATAGGCGGCTAAAAATTGCGGTCTGCACAGGTAACTTATTGGGAACCGTTGAAGCGGCAAATGTAGCTTACATTACACGGTAACTCTGTAACAGATAGTCGGGGAGCAGATATTGAGTTTCGGTTGCAGCTTTACACTGCCACGTACAGGAATCGATGCACTCGGTGTCTACTACATTTCAAAAAGAAGACGCGATTTCTACCCTATTTAGAAGTTAAGTTGGCATATATTAAGATTAGCAGTCCGTGTTAAAAACCGATGATTTTTTTTATTCAGTAAGAAATGACTCAAAAGAGGCGTAAAGAAATATCATAATTGAGTACTTTTGGTATTAAAATTGATCATAACTCAAAGATGAAAAGTGATGGAGAAAAGTTTTTTAGGAATAAGTTGTTTATTATCAACTAAGAAGACATCATCCATAAAAAAATTTAGTTTAGATGTAATGATTTTCTAGTGATAAAGAGAAAATCCCCAAAATGTCAAAATTGGGTACTTTTGGTGTTAAAACCGATCATAGCTTAAGAATGAAAGGTGATGGAGAAAATTTTTTTAGGAATAAATTGTTTATTATGAACTAAAAAGACATCATCCATAAACAAATTTAGTTTAGGTATAATGATTTTCTAGTGATAAAGAAAAAATCACCAAAATGTCAAAATTGAGTACTTTTGGTATTAAAATAGATCATAACTCAAAAACTAAAAGCGATAGTGAAAAACTTTTTATACATAAAACCTTAGTAATGAACCATAATGACTAGATCCATAACAAGATTGAACCCAGTTATTACCATTTTTTATTTATAAGCTCTAAATCGATTAAACATCAAAATTGTTGATTTTCGAAAAATAACTCAATCATAACTCATAAAATAACAGCGATGGAGAAAAACTTTTTATACATAAAACTTTAGTAATGGGCGATAAAGACTACATCCATAACAAGATTGAACCCAATTATTACCAATTTTTATTTATAAGCTCTAAATCGATTAAACATCAAAATTGTTGATTTTCGAAAATTAACTCAATCATAACTCAAAAACTAAAAGCGATGGGGAAATATTTTGTATACATAAAACCTTAGTAATGGACCATAAAGACTAGATCCATAAAAAGATTGAACCCAATTATTACCATTTTTTATTTATAAGTTCTAAATCCATTAAACATCAAAATTGTTGATTTTCGAAAATTAACTCAATCATAACTCAAGTATGAAAAGTGATGGAGAAAAGTTTTTTAGGAATAAGTTGTTTATTATCAACTAAGAAGACATCATCCATAAAAAAAATTAGTTTAGATGTAATGATTTTCTAGTGATAAAGAGAAAATCCCCAAAATGTCAAAATTGGATACTTTTGGTGTTAAAATCGATCATAGCTTAAGAATTAAAGGTCACGGAGAAAATTTTTTTAGGAATAAATTGTTTATTATGAACTAAAAAAACATCATCCATAAACAAATTTATTTTAGGTATAATGATTTTCTAGTGATAAAGAAAAAATCATCGATTTTTAAGACGGACTGCTATTCCTAAATAATTCCGTTAAGTTGCATAACCATATCGGATAAATAAATAATCCGCGAGAAATGGAAATATTAAAAAGTCTTTTCTAGGTTCTACTTGAAAACTTTTTCATTTCAAAAAGATCTTTTAAAGCATGGATCTTTTAAAGCGCCAGTTCCATTGTTGGAGTCCGGTTCTCGGTTTGCTGAGTGTGACGATCAATTTCTTGAAAATTAGTCACAGGTCATTATAGAGATCAAATTAAAGAGTCCTTTTTGGTTTGCCGCTTCTAATCGGCTCCTCTATTAATCCCCTCAATATTATGATTACATAATTAACCCCCTATTTATATCACTTAGCCATTTCTCTAACCACACCATTTTTATGTATCATTATTATTTTTTCCTTTTCAATACAAAGTTTTAAAACTGCAAAACGATGTTTCTTAACTTGAAGGGTGCTCGACCGTAAAACTCCATCTCGTAGAAGCAATTTTTTCCCTCTCTTTTTAATCTTTCAGTTTACTCGTTTCATCCTCCTCCTTTTTTTCTTTACCGGTAATTTCGTTCGGGTACACTTGAATGACCATATACCATGGGAAGCTGAAAAGGTGCTTCTTCGCTTTGTTTTAAGGACGACATAAAAAATTGTAATCTAGATAATTAATAAAAAGGCTTCTATGAATAGATAGGTTTAGTCATAACCCGAGAATTACCCGCGACGCGTCGCGATTCACAGAAGCTAATTTGCAAATTTGTCTATTTAAAGGACAACTTGAATAACAATTAAGTTAATAAAACGACAATGAATAAGTTGTGGTTCTTATTTTGGTGTGAATCCCGATTAAAAAGATTTTAACAAACTCTTACATAATGGAATAATTAAATTTTAACCCCGACCTACGCTCAAAATGACCATGGCATTTAATGTGTTAGTAGTGAAAATAAGATTTCCCATGAGTAACGTTCTGAATATCGAAAAAAAAGTTTTTCCCGCTAAATTGTTTCTTGTCTACGGTGATTAATAAAAATTGAAGAGTTTTTGTAATAAAGTTGAACGCGAAGTGATTATTATCGCCTATAATTATGCGTTAAAATGTAAATGTAAAGCTAAAATTAGAAAATCTATATTGTAGTGACATTTACGGGTACTTTAAAAGAGATTAAAAATTATTTGTTTATATCAATATTAAATCGGCAATTGCAAAATTAATCTTGAAAAAAACTCAAAAATATGTCGAGAGATTATCTGGATTATATCTGTGATAGCCACTAATAACTTTGTTGCTATTGAAATAAAGGAAACTTGACTCTCATATGACTTGGGTAAGACTTGCCAATACATCTAGCATAAAATGTGTTAATCATTCTGCCATACACAGCTCTTTCAAGCTTACACAAACATCATTTAACCTTGCACCAACTATGTACAACTATGACTTAGCAGCACAAGCTGTCGAAACTACATATATATCTACCAAAGTAAAAATCCAGAGTACCGTCATAACTCGAAGTATGTGCAGAAAGTTCGTTGTCGCGTTCAACGCAACCCGGAGCGTTCGATCAGGAAAATAGCAAAGAAGTTTAGTGTCAGTATCGGTGGATGCAACAAGATCGGTTCTCTCCGCTTCTTCGCCGAATAATTCGCGTGATGGCTGATGCTCGTTTATCAAAAATTCTCTTCATTGATGAGAAGATTTTAAAGATTAAGCCTAAGATCAATGGCGCACATCAAAGGCTGTCCAAATTGTATCAGCTCATAAACAGAAAGTCGATGCCAAAACAGAAAAGTATTTTGATACATTCACAAAATTTTCATATTTTCGTGTTTCTCTTGATATCTATGCATCTGAGAGCAAAAGTGCAAGAGAGCAATATTGTTTAGAATAAAATTTGCTACAACTTTAGTTTTAAAAGTTTTTTTATATCATTCTCCGATTCCCGAATGTTACCATTGGCACATAGCAAAATAACGAAATTCATCAAATTTTCATATTTTCGCATTTTTCTCAATATCTACACAACTGAGAGCAAAAACGCAAGAGAGCAATATTGTTTAGAAGAAAATTTGCGACAACTTTTATTATAAAACTTTTTTTATATCATGCTCCGATTCCCAAATGTTACCATTGACCCATAGTAAAACAACGAAATTCATCAAATTTTCATATTTTCGCATTTTTCTTAATATCCATACATTTCAGAGCAAAAGTGCAAGAGAGCAATATTGTTTAGAATAAAATTTGCTACAACTTTAGTTTTAAAAGTTTTCTTATATCATTCTCCGATTCCCGTATGTTACCATAGACGCAGTGAAATAACGAAATTCATAAAATTTTCATATTTTCGTGTTTTTCTTAATATCTATGCATCTGAGAGCAAAAGCACAAGAGAGCAATATTGTTTAGAATAAAATTTGCTACAACTTTAGTTCTAAAAGTTTTCTTATATCATTCTCCGATTCCCAAATGTTACCATAGACACATAGTGAAATAATAAAACTCATCAAATTTTCATATTTTTGCATTTTTCTTGATATCTATGTATCTGAGAGCAAAAATACAAAAGAACAATATTGTTTAGAATATAATTTGCTACAACTTTAGTTCTAAAAGTTGTTTTATATCATTCTCCGATTCCCGAATATTACCATTGATACATAGTAAAATAACGAAATTCATCACATTTTCATAATTTCGCACTTTTCTCAATATCTATGCATCTGAGAGTAAAAGTGCAAGAGAGCAATATTGTTTAGAATAAAATTTGCTTCAACTTTCGTTCTAAAAATTTTTGTATATCATTCTCCGATTCCTGAATGTTACCATAGACACATAATAAAATAACGAAATTCATCAAATTTTCATAATTTCGCACATTTCTCAATATCTATGCATCTGAGAGCAAAAGTGCAAGAGAGCAATATTGTTTAGAATAAAATTTGCTACAACTTTAGTTCTAAAAATTTTTGTATATCATTCTCCGATTCGCGAATGTTACCATAGACACATAATAAAATAACGAAATTTATCAAATTTTCATATTTTCGCGTTTTTCTCAATATCTATACATCTAAGAGCAAAAACAAAAGAGAGCAATATTATTTAGAATAAAATTTGCTACAACTTTAGTTCTAAAAGTTTGTTTATATAATTCTCTGATTTCCGAATATTACCATTGACACATAGTAAAACAACGAAATTTATCAAATTTTCATATTTTCGCATTTTTCTCAATATCTATGCATCTGAGAGCAAAAGTGCAACAGAGCAATATTGTTTACAATAAAATTTGCTACAACTTTCGTTCTAAAAATTTTTGTATATCATTCTTCGATTCGCGAATGTTACCATAGACACATAATAAAATAACGAAATTCATCAAATTTTCATAATTTCGCACTTTTCTCAATATCTATGCATCTGAGAGCAAAAATGCAAGGGAGCAACATTGTTTAGAATAAAATTTGCTACATCTTTGGTTCTAAAAATTTTTGTATATCATTCTTCGATTCTCGAATATTACCACTGACACACAGTAAAATAACGAAATTCATCAAATATTCATATTTTCACACTTTTCTCAATATCTATGCATCTGAGAGCAAAAGCGCAAGAGACCAATATTGTTTAGAATAAAATTTGCTAGAACTTTTATTGTAAAAGTTTTTTTATATCACTCTCCGATTCCCAAATGTTACCATTGCCACATAGTAAAATAACGAAATTCTTCAAATTATCATATTTTCGTATTTTTCCCAATATCTATACATCTAAGAACAAAAGCGCAAGAGAGCAATATTGTTTAGAATAAAATTTGCTACAACTTTTATTATAAAAGTTTTGTTATATCATTCTCCGATTCCCGAATATTATCATTGACACATAGTAATATAACGATATTTATCAAATTTTCATATTTTCGCATTTTTCTCAATATCTATACATCTAAGAGCAAAAACACAAGAGAGCAATATTGTTTAGAATAAAATTTGCTATAACTTTAGTTCTAAAAGTTTTTTTATATCATTCTCTGATTCCCGAATGTTATCATTGGCACATAGCAAAATAACGAAATTCATCAAATTTTCATAATTTCGCACTTTTCTCAATATCTACGCATCTTAGAGCAAAAGTGCAAGAGAGCAATATTGTTTAGAATAAACTTTGCTACAGCTTTAATTCTAAAAATTTTTGTATATCATTCTTCGATTGCCGAATTTTACCATTGACACATAGTAAAATAACGAAATTCATCAAATTTTCATATTTTCGCACTTTTCTCAATATCTGTATCTGAGAGCAAAAGTGCAAGAGAAGAATATTGTTTAGAATAAAATTTGCTAGAATTTTTATTGTAAAAGTTTTGTTATATCATTCTCCGATTCCCGAATGTTATCATTGACACATAGTAAAATAACGAAATTCATCAAATTTTCATATTTTCGCACTTTTCTCAATATCTATGCATCTGAGAACAAAAGCGCTAGAGACCAATATTGTTTAGAATAAAATTTGCTACAACTTTTATTGTAAAAGTTTTTTTATATCATTTTCCAATTCCTGAATGCTACCATTGGCACATAGTATAATAACGAAATTCTTCAAATTATCATATTTTCGCATTTTTCTCAATATCTATACATCTGAGAGCAAAAGTGCAAGGGAGCAATATTGTTTAGAATAAAATTTGCTACAACTTTAGTTCTAAAAATTTTTGTATATGATTCTCCGATTCTCGAATGTTACCATAGACACATAATAAAATAACGAAATTCATCAAATTTTCATAATTTCGCACTTTTCTCAATATCTATGCATCTGAGAGCAAAAGCGCAAAAGAGCAATATTGTTTAGAATAAAATTTGCTACAACTTTTATTGTAAAAGTTTTTTTGTATCATTTTCCGATTCCCGAGTGTTACCATTGATATCTAGTAAAACAAGGAAACTCATCAAAATTTCATATTTTCACATTTTTCTCAATATCTATGCATCTGAGCGCAAAAGAGCAACAGACTAATATTGTTTAGAATAAAATTTACTACAATTTTTGTTTTAAAAGTTTTTTTGCAAAATGTTCCGATTCCCGAATATTACCATTGACACCTAGTACTTAAAACAGCAAAATACATCAAATTTTCATATTTTCGTGTTTTTCTTGATTCACTTTGTCAATATGTCGATGGATCTCTATCACCTCTTCTCATCCTTTGGTAGCAATTTCCTGCTCTGCTTAGCATCTTGGTCTCATCGAAATTTATGGTGTGTCCCTTTTTTTCTGGTAATACTCTGCAACTTCCGATTGGTTGAATCTTAATTGTGATAAAACCCAAACTATGGTTATCTTTTTGTGACTATACTCCTTTTGTTCGTCGTATTCTAATATTTGTTATTACATTTAAGATACAAATTTTTGTCTGTCAAACTGTACTTTTGTAATTTTATCTTCCATCTTAATTAATTTAAGATAATCACACAGATTAAAATTGTTTTTTTCTAAATTTACTCAAACGGTATTGATTTAACTTTAAAAATAATAATAAAAGAAAACTTTGACTTTGACCACCCATGGATAGCTAATCGCCATCCGTCGGTCGGAAGAAGGTAGCACAAAAAACGTCACGACGAAAGGAAATGCCCGGATTAATCATAGGTTAGATTTATTTTTTTTGTAAACTCCTAACAATCTTATACCTGTGTGTGTATAAACAAAACGTGCGCGGCAGATCAAAGAAAAAAAATTAAAAGAAAAAGAAATCGTGAAGGTTTTAGGAATTACCGGGAAAAAAATTTTTTCAATCCAAAAAGAATCTCTTTGTTATATTTATATCTTCAACATCGTTGTAATCAAACTTGCCGAGAATTAAATATGGAGTAGTCCATCAATAATGGATTGAATGGACGCGTTGCGTGTGTGCAAGTTGAAAGAAAGAAAAACATAATTCAATTATTATCAATACAAGAAAGAACAATCGAACTGAATCATCATAAATTCCGTATGTACAATGTAACACGGTTTTTTTTATGTGTCTCTGCGATTATCATTGTATTAACACGAATAGAATGGAGTTTCGACGTGATTTGAATAAAATTGTACCAAAAAATTTCTTAAAAAAAAGATTTCTGCAACAATAACGAAAGTCGCTGTAAGGATTCAGATATCGTGTTACGTGATGTGGCCCCCCTTTTGCTTAAAATAAAATTCCCATGAAACTGTAGAAGACTTTTGAACGGCACAGGCCAAGCCAAGGTATGGGAATTGTTGTACTTGCTACGGATTATATGTTCCTGTAGTATGCACGTGCACTATTAACCCGTTCCGACCTGTGTTCAATTTTAATGCATTCTCGCCGGGATCGTAGCGTTTAATGAGATGATCAAGTACGTTTTTTTAAGTAAAGTTGTTGTTTCAGATACGACGGCTGTCACACCTTCTCCAACGACGCATTATCATCAATCATCTTGGGAAAGTACCCCTTATACTCCATACACCCCGCCTCAACCCCCGAGTTACTACGAACCTCAACAGGAATATTCGACGACGTCAGCGTCGCTACATTTGCCAGCAGGTAAAAATAAAATTTATGAAATTCTTAAGTATCAAGTTTAAGTTGGTGTGCACAAATTTCATTAGATTTATTGGTTATTTATGCGGAAAAGAATTTAGAATATGGTGAAGTATCGTTTTCGTTGCATAATTAAGGTAAAACCTTGATGTAACAATTTTTCATATTTTTGCATTTTTCTCGATATATATGCATCTGAGAGAAAAGGTGCTAGAGAGTAATATTGTTCAGAATAAAATTTGGTATAACTTTAATTCTAAAAGTTTTTTTATATCATTCTCCGATTGCCGAATGTTACCATTGATAACTAGTAAAACAACGAAATTTATCAAATTTTCATATTTTTGCATATTTCTCAATATCTATGCATGTGAGGGCAAAAGCGTAAGGGAGCAATATTGTTTGGAATAAAATTTGCTACAACTTTTGTTATAAAAATTTTTTTATGTCATTCTCCGATTCCCGGATGTTACCATTGACACATCGTAAAATAACGAAATTCATCAAATTTTCATATTTTCGTATTTTTCTCAATATCAATGTATTTCAGAGCAAAAGTGCAAGAAAGCAATATTGTTTAGAATAAAATTTGCTACAACTTTAATTCTAAAAGTTTTTTTATATCATTCTCCGATTCCCGAATGTTACCGTTGACTCATAATAAAACAACGAAATTCATAAAATTTTCATATTTTTGCATTTTTCTCAATATCTATGCATTTCAAAGCAAAAGTGCAAGAGAGCAATATTGTTTAGAATAAAATTTGCTACAACTTTAATTCTAAAAGTTTTTTTATATCATTTTCCGATTCCCAAATGTTACCATTGACCCATAGTAAAACAGCGAAATTCATAAAATTTTCATATTTTTGCATTTTTCTCAATATCTATGCATTTCAAAGCAAAAGTGCAAGAGAGCAATATTGTTTAGAAGAAAATTTGCTACAACTTTTATTATAAAAGTTTTTTTATATCATTTTCCGATTCCCAAATGTTACCATTGACCCATAGTAAAACAGCGAAATTCATCAAATTTTCATATTTTCGCATTTTTCTCAATATCTATGCATTTCAGAGCAAAAGCGCAAGAGAGCAATATTGTTTAGAAGAAAATTTGCTACAACTTTTATTATAAAAGTTTTTTTATATCATTCTCCGATTCCCGAATGTTACCATTGACACATAGTAAAACAACGAAATTCTTCAAATTATCATATTTTCGCATTTTTCCCAATATCTATGCATTTCAGAGCAAAAGCGCAAGAGAGTAATATTGTTTAGAATAAAATTTGCGACAACTTTTGTTCTAAAAGTTTTGTTATATCATTCTCCGATTCCCGAATGTTACCATTGACCCATAGTAAAACAACGAAATTCTTCAAATTATCATATTTTCGCATTTTTCCCAATATCTATGCATTTCAGAGCAAAAGTGCAAGAGAGCAATATTGTTTAGAATAAAATTTACTACAACTTTAGTTCTAAAAGTTTTTTTATATCATTCTCCGATTCCCGAATGTTACCATTGACCCATAGTAAAACAGCGAAATTCATCAAATTTTCATATTTTCGCATTTTTCTCAATATCTATGCATTTCAGAGCAAAAGTGCAAGAGAGCAATATTGTTTAGAAGAAAATTTGCGACAACTTTTATTATAAAAGTTTTTTTATATCATTCTCCGATTCCCAAATGTTACCATTGACCCATAGTAAAACAACGAAATTCTTCAAATTATTATATTTTCGCATTTTTCCCAATATCTATGCATTTCAGAGCAAAAGTGCAAGAGAGCAATATTGTTTAGAAGAAAATTTGCTACAACTTTTATTATAAAAGTTTTTTTATATCATTTTCCGATTCCCAAATGTTACCATTGACCCATAGTAAAACAACGAAATTCTTCAAATTATTATATTTTCGCATTTTTCTCAATATCCATACATTTCAGAGCAAAAGTGCAAGAGAGCAATATTGTTTAGAATAAAATTTGCTACAACTTTTGTTATAAAATTTTTTTTATATTATTCTCCGATTCCCGAGTGTTACCATTGGCACATAGTAAAATAATGAAATTCGTCAAATTTTCATATTTTCGCATTTTTCTCAATATCCACACAACTGAGAGCAAAAACGCAAGAGAGCAATATTGTTTAGAATAAAATTTGCTACAACTTCTGTTGTAAAAGTTTTTTTATATCATTCTCCGATTCCAGAATATTACCATAGATACATAGTAAAATTTAATGTAAACGAAAAAAAAATATAAGTTAATTGAATTTTGTACTTTTTTACTGGTTTATTCTTAAATTCGGCTTGACAAGTTTCGACTTACGTCATCCTCAGAAGCGTCGTTAATTCAACAACCATAGTTTTAAAAACGCACGTGTACTATCAACATTTGAAGAATTTCCAATATTTTCTATCACAAATTATTGACGGATATATGTACATTATAAATTATAATTTTGTATAAAAATGATTAAGGTTTAAAATATTAACACATTAAAATTTGAGGTAAAAATAAAGCGAGCGGACGTTACAAGTAAATGAAGTAAAAAATTTAATAGTAAATAGCGAAATTCGTCAAATTTTCATATTTTCGCACTTTTCGCAATATCTATGCATCTGAGAGCAAAAATGCAAGAGAGCAATATTATTTAGAATAAAATTTGCTACAACTTTTGTTATAAAAAATTTTCTATATCATTCTCCAATTCCCGAATATTACCATTGACACATAGTAAAACAGAAATTCATCAAATTTTCATATTTTTGCATTTTTCCCAATATCTATGCATTTCAGAGCAAAAGCGCAAGAGAGCAATATTGTTTAGAATAAAATTTGCTACAACTTTAGTTATGAAAGTTTTTTTATATCATTCTGCGATTCCCAAATGTTACCATTGACACATAGCAAAACAACAAAATTCATCAAATTTTTATATTTTCGCATTTTTCTCAATATCAATGCATTTCAGAGCAAAAGTGCAAGAGAGCAATATTGTTTAGAATAAAATTTGCTACAACTTTTGTTGTAAAAGTTTTTTTATATCATTTTCCGATTCCCGAATGTTACCATTGACACTGTAAAACAACGAAATTCATCAAATTTTCATATTTTTGCATTTTTCTCAATTTTCATGCATTTTAGAGCAAAAATGCAAGAGAGCAATATTGTTTAGAATAAAATTTACTACAACTTTAGTTCTAAAAGTTTTTTTATATCATTCTCCGATTCCCGAATGTTACCATTGACCCATAGTAAAACAGCGAAATTCATCAAATTTTCATATTTTTGCATTTTTCTCAATTTTCATGCATTTTAGAGCAAAAATGCAAGAGAGCAATATTGTTTAGAATAAAATTTGCTACAACTTTAGTTATAAAAGTTTTTTATATCATTCGCCGATTCCCAAATGTTACCATTGACACATCGTAAAATAACGAAATTCATCAAATTTTCATATTTTCGCATTTTTCTCAATATCTATGCATTTTAGAGCAAACGTGCAAGAGACCAATATTGTTTAGAATAAAATTTGCTACAACTTTAATTCTAAAAATTTTTCTATATCATTCTCCGATTCCCGAATATTACCATTGACACATAGTAAAACAGAAATTCATCAAATTTTCATATTTTCGCATTTTTATCAATTTCCATACATTTCAGAGCAAAAGTGCAAGAGAGCAATATTGTTTAGAATAAAATTTGCTACAACTTTAATTATAAAAGTTTTTTTATATCATTCTCCGATTCCCAAATGTTACCATTGACACATAGTAAAATAACGAAATTCATCAAATTTTCATATTTTCGCATTTTTCTCAATATCTATGCATCTGAGAGCAAAAGTGTTAGAGAGCAATATTGTTAAGAATAAAATTTGCTACAACTTTTGTTATAAAAATTTTTTTATATCATTCTCCGATTATCAACTTGCAAAACAAAGATATTCATGAAATTTTCATTTTGTCCGTTACATCGCGATTTTATTGTATTAATTTTTTGTTTCAGTATTAGATCCAGCCCATAACGAGTACATAAGCACCCCATTAACATCTTCTCAAATCTTCAACAGTGCCAAAGCGGATTTAGATCCAATGGTCGGAACGGTTTCGCGTTACTCGGACGCTGCTTATCACCCAAATAGTTGGAGTACGAACGCGACGTATCCAGCCAATTACAACTATTACAACTCGGCGAACAACAACCAACAGTACTTGAACAGTGGTAGCACAACAATGGTCCTGTATCCGCATGTTTACTCAACGGTCAATCAAAACCAAATTCACCTCCACCTACATGGTAACGCTGACAAAATAGATCAGTATCTTAATTTTAACGATTCGTTATCTTTGACGCCAGTACGAGGGAATCTCGAAGCGAATCAATCGGGTAATAACAGTGTTGAAGAGGTCAACCAAGCTCACTCGCAAATCGAAGAAAGCGACCGGAGTCAAGAACAAGTTACTGACCCATCAGGAGTTTGGAGACCTTATTAATTCATTTTTATTTCAATTTAAACCCTTTTTGTTTTAAAAACGTGCGTGGACGCTAAAAATTAAAAAAGATGTGTGTGATTAAGTCGAAACCAAAATGTATTTTTGTACGAGAAAAGAATTTGTTTAAAAAATTGTTTTAATTTTTTTTTTTGTGGTTTATCTTATAACTTAGCAACTAAGAATGTATTTTTCTACTTCTCATGATGAACCTTCCAAGAATTCGATTCATTATTAAAAATTATCTTGCATAAATTAATTTAATTAATTTTTTGTAAAAAACCTATTATAAGTAGCCTAAAATGAATAAGTAGATGTGCTTGATATAAATGCCACGTGGTAAATTTCGATCAAAATTTAAAATTAAATGTTCGTTTATATCGATATCAACATATCAAAATAATTGTGATGTAAAAAAAGAATTTGATTTTTTTTTTTTAATAATTTCCAAATCAAATAAATGTTCCTTACAAAAAATCTTTTTTAATTAATTTAACACAAAATATTTTAATTTTTTTATTCCTTTAAGAAAATTTACGAGGGAATTAATACCTTTCAAGTTGTCATAATCATTTTTCAACACATTTCAAAAAGTCTCGACCGTAAAAGGTGATTTAGCGAGGAGTAAAAGACAGTTACTTGGTAATAATTCATCGGTTGGACAATGGAAGTGGAGTAGTAAAATTGCGTTTATCGTCGCGAAGCGGTCCTCTAAAACTCGTGGAAGTTAATAAGTCGACCGCGTCTAGAAATCGAACCGATGGGACTATTAAATTTTAAGACACGTGTGCGGTTTTTCGAATGCTTTTGAAAGGCGTTAAGTGATTTTTATTTTTCTCTTTCTTGTACGAACATAATTTTTTTTCGTTTTTATCGACTTCACAAAAAATTAACTTCAAAATTATTAAATAAAAATACGATATTCTTATTCCTCGTGAAAAGCTCTTTAAAATGAGCCCAAACATGATAGGGTTATCTCAAAAAATAACCGAGTTATTAACACTTTTATATATTGCCCTGAAGTTGGCAACATAATCCATTAACATTGTTGTATCTCCGCGAATTTTTAAGTTAAATACATCGTGTTTGGGTTCATTTTAAAGTATTTTTCATGAAGATTAAGAATATTTGAACATTAAATTTGACATTTATAACCGGAAGTCGCCATATTTTAGCTATTTCATTTTTATTTCGGGCTTTATAACCGCTTTAAAAGAAATTTTAATTTAATATTAATTACGATTCAAGATTATAATAATTTTCAAATAAAAATCATAAAAGTATATTAAAAATTTTCAAAATCATCAAAAATAACGAGATTTTCATGAAGATCAGGAAATTTTAACCTAAATTGATGTATCACACTCTATATCTACCATAAAATTCACTTTTAAAGGGATAAATGACATAATTAATTAGTGTTTTGTTTTCGGCCATCTTGATTTTATCAAAGTAACGACATTTTGGGTACTATAGCACTTAGATATATCGTGTTTGGACTCATTTTAAAGCATTTTTCATAAAGATTAAGAATATTTGAAAATTAAACCTTATATTAATAACCGGAAGTCGCCATATTTAATTTTTATTTCGATTATGTCATATTTGTAATCGCTTCAAAAGGAATTTTAATTCAATGTTTATTCCAATTTAAGATTTAAAATTTTTTTTATAAATATTTTCANTATATCTACCATCAAATTCACTTTTAAAACTATAAATGACATAATTAATTAGTGTTTTGTTTCGGCCATCTTGATTTTACAAAAATAACGATATCTCGGCTAATATAACACCTAGATATATCATGTTTGGACTCATTCCACACGTTTTTTAATCCCCCACCGCAATATTTACGAATCGTTTATTTTCGGCCATTTTGAATTTTATAAATTTTTTTTAAAACACTTCGTGTTTGGGCTCATTTCAAAGGATTTTTTATAAAGATTAAGATTATTTCAAAATGAAAGTTAAAATTTATCATTACCAAATCAGAATGTTTCAAAAAATGGTGTATTTATTTTTTTTTAATAAATCGTGTCACTTTTACGTCAGATTTTTCTTCGTGATTATGTTTGTGTTAATTTTTTTGAATTAATCATTTTTTTAAGGATTTTTTTAACATGTTGGACCCCGTGGAGGTGATTCCAAAACCAAAATTTACGGTTGTGGGGATTCTAACGACCGTGGAGTACCAAAAATGTAAATTTTACGTCCAAAGGTTGATGAAGGGATTTCCTAACGATTACGATCCGGCCGTTTTTAGACCGATGCTTAACGTGCAATGGAACGAATATTTATGGATGGTTAATAAACTAAATTTAATCATTTTTTTGCATATTATTTTATTTCTTTTTAAGATTCGGCGGACGATAGGGGGGAAAGTTTGGACGTTAGAAAAGGGTGCTGTCGTGTTTTTAGATAACCAATTCATCGGGGATGATGTGGCCTTGTTTAATTTCGCGATTAAAAAGGCTAGGATGCGGGTTACCAAAGATTTTCATTGTTTGGGGGTTTTAGAATTAACGGATATTTACAACAAAGCCGTTGATATAAAAGTATTATGAAATTATGTGGGGAAATTAAACCAAAAGCAATATTTTTAGAGGAAATTCGCCTATTTACAAGTTTCCATCGATAATCGATGCGTTGGGAGTTTGCTTTTTTTGCTTTATTTCGATCAAGTCCCAAGAACTGTTAGGCGATTCTTAAGGAGGTGTAAAAGCAAAAAACGCGGCTTCTTAGGGAGACCAATTCACAGGTAACAAACGATTTTTGTAATTATCTTTTTATTGAGTTATTTTAGGATAGTAAAAGGAAGTTGGTTGCAAATGGGGGGATTTGATTTAGAAAATCGCCCAGTTCCGTGCGAGAATTATTTAATCCCGCATGATAGAAGAGGAGTCCTTTCAACTTGCCACCAAGAGAAACACACAAACAACACAACCCAATTCGTTATTTCTTTAGATCCAACGCCGTGGATGGATTGCAAATACGTAGCCTTTGGGTAAACTCCAAATTAATCTTAATTTTTGTACCAACCAATCATTTTTAGCCAATTAATTCAAGGTGAAGAAGTATTAAAGCGAATAGAATCAGTCCCAACCGATTACGAATCCCCCAAAAAATCGATAATAATCACAAAATGCGGATTATTCACTTTAGAATCAGAACCAGATAAAGACGAGGAAGCTGAACTTGATGCATGGTTAGCCCAAATTAACAAAGAAACAGGAATTCCTGATGATGTATTAGATCCAAACGATGTTCCATCCGATTTATCAGTTACAAAATACAAACAAGGGCTTTATTGTTACCAATTCGATTTGGAACCTCATCCAGCTCTTAATAAATGGTACCTTTATTACGAAGCAGCTAAAGAGCCAATAATTCCTCCGACCATCGTGGGCGAAATAGAAGGAGAATCTGTTTACGAAGAAACCGATTCGGATATTTGGAGTTTTATTCGAGATTTAATAACCAATGATATTTTGAAGTTTATTAGGGAGGGAAATCCCTCGATGGCCCAAGTACGTGATAAAATGGATCTTTCAAAAGTATCTCCGGAAGTTTTAAAAATGGTTGAAAATATCATCGAAACATTACTCGCTACAATACCTGATGATGGTAATGATCAAAATGAGGAAAATATTGAAGCTGTAGGAGAATAATTATGTAACTAAATTGTTTATTTAAATAAAACTTTCAAGTACATTACGATGTTTACGTCAACGCTTGGTATTTCCCCAAAACCAAGTTATTTAACAATAAAATTAGAAATTAGTAATTTTGCAACTTACTCAACACCTTAGCAAATTGGGTTGCATAACTTTCGGGGATATAATTGCGTATTAATTTGCGCAACCTGTAATACCGACGGCGATTGACGCGTAACTGTCAATTGAAAACACCAACTGTCATCAACAGAACAGTCAGTTTTCGGTATTTAGAGGTTGTACTCGTACTCCGCCTTTTCTAGTAGTGCCTTCGGTTTGATTTTGAGTTTTTTAATATTTTAATAAACCACAATTTGGAATTATGTCGGACGAAATCCCGGAGAATGGACACGAAAACGGCGAGGATGTTCCGGTCGTCGAACTGATAATAAAAGTAAGTTTTTCCTTTGGGTGTGGTACGAAACTCTTCAGAACTATTCGTAATGAAAGCGGCCGTCTTTTCTGATTTTGAATAAGTTAAAAACGTTATGTAACAATTATGAAAAGATCTGAAAGGATTTGTAATTAATTGGAAACGTTTAAAAATTAAATTAATTAGGATTTCGGTTTTATTTTAAACCTTTCTTTCTCTTTTACTGTATTTTTTTAGATTTTCTCGACCTTGATTTATAACGTTTTATGTAAACTAGATCTTACTATTAATATTAATACATTTTAATATTAAATTTTGACATCTTACTGTATTTTTACTTGTCATTTTGACATATGTCATTTTAATTTTTAAATGTGTTCTTTATATTTTTTTGTTTTATATTTCAATTTCATTAAATACATCCTTTAAATTTATCATTCTTCCAATATTTTACACTCAAACATCTTTTTATCGCACTAATTTTAATTATTTATTACCAACTTAAAATGGGAAATGACAAAAAGACCTATATGACATGACATAGTGAAACTTAATCTCAAACTCGAATTAAATTAAAAATCTACGTGTTTTTATTGGTATTTTTAGTGTTTTCGATTTATAATGAAACATAATCTCATTGTGATCAATATTACTTAAACTCATTTTACTATAAACATGGTGAATCATCAAGAAAATGTTGATGCGTTACTATCAAGCGTAATTCAAGAGATGCTTTATCTCCAAATTATCTGGTCATAACATATTTACCCCCTTAAAAATGATATTTAATAAAAAGATTCAAAGTTTACAAAAACGAGGCAATTATATACCTTACAACTTTTATGTTAAGATAATGGTATTAAAAGATAACATTTTTAGCTGATGTGATCATAGTTTAAAAACAACCCGATATATTTGTTTATAGCTACATATAATCGGTCCTGCCTCAGCAGCACATTTGCCTCGGCAACTCAATAACACAATTAAATTTCAAAACGTTTTAATATCTCTTCTTTCTATACTCATGTTCACTCCTATTGCCTCGAATTTTAAGTTACGGAATCAATTTTTTTAATTTTTATATATTTATACCAAAAAGTTTCAAAATCATCAAAAGTAATATGATTTTCGTGAAAATCGGGAAATTTTAACCTAAATTAATATATCACACTCTATATCTACCATAAAATTCACTTTTATAGGAATAAATGACATAATTAATTAGTGTTTTGTTTTCGGCCATCTTGGTTTTATCAAAATATTGATATCTTGGGTAATATAACACGTAGATATATCGTGTTTGGACTCATTTTAAAGCATTTTCCGTGACGATTAAGAATATATAAGCTTATATTAATAACCGGAAGTCGCCATATTAGTTTATTTTATTTTTATTTCTGTTAAAATTATCAAACATTTTTAAAATCACCACAAGTAATAAGATTTTCATAAAAATCAGGAATTTTTAACCTAATTTAATGTATCACACCCTAAATTTATCATAAAATACACTTTTTATGCGCCATTTTTTAGTGTTTTGTTTTCGGCCATCTTGATTTTACAAAAATAACGATATCTCGAGTAATATAACACCTAGATACATCGTGTTTGGACTCATTCCACACGTTTTTTAATCCTCTACCGCAATATTTACGAATCGTTTATTTTCGGTAAATCGAATAAAACTCGGTGAAATAAAATAAACATTTAGAAATAAAAACATGATGACTCAACTTAAATTATTTAAATTACTTTAATAGTAATTGCGTACTAACATTTTTTTAACCTCGTTGAATGCAATTTCTTTAAAGCACTGAATTTAAAATTGCTTAATAAAAAACATCTCTTAAACAAGTTTTTTTAGAGAATTTTTGTGCGTTACCTTTCGCTATTGTTGTAAAGTTTATTGGCCGTTTTTTAATGGTGTTACGACGAAAACTCCACTTTCTGATTACCTCACCACGTTAAAATTTATGTCGATTATCCAATCGAGGTTATAAATTAATAAACTTACAAATTTAATTGTAATTTTTGTTTGAAGGGTTTTATATTCGATTTTGTACTTTCTAAAATGCAAGAATTTTTATTTATACTATTTATAGTATCATTTTTTTTTTGTCTCTTAATTTATAACTTTCTAATTATATCCAATTGCTGTGGTGGTTTTACTTTAGAAGTCCATGGTCAAGGAAAAGTTCTCTTTGAGAAGCAATCAAGAGAAATAAAAGTCTTCGACACTTTCAATAAAGTGTGTCGTTCAAATTCTTATCGTTTAATTAACCAGTTGTTGCCTTTTTTTATGCTTAAAAACCTATAAAGCGAATCGAATTGTTATTGTTATTAACTTGGGCGATGATGTCATTTTAATCTTGCATATCGGCGATAAGAAAAAGTCGCGATACATTAACAGTTAAGGTTTTAATTCATTATTTTCGATTAAATTAAAGTCATCGAACTTTCGTGGTTTATTAACATTTCAAGGGCGATCAATGGTAAGGCCCAAAGGCTTCAAGTTGCGTTTTGTTAGGTCACCAGAGCATGACTCATCCAGTCTCGGTTTAAATAAACGTGCAAACCTTAGAATAACGCGTTTTATAAGATGAGTTTTATTTACTTTAAAAAATAAATATTTAAACATCTTTTTTTAAACGATGCGATGATTATGTAAAGATTAGATCAACAAAATTGATGGAAATTTTAACGGTTATAATAAGGTTGTTTGACTCTTTGGTGTTTATAGAGAAAAACTTTCTCTTTCTTTCGAATTACGGTCAAGTATAAAACATATACAGCGAATAATCTGATAAATTATTGCATTTAGATAAAATAATTTTTGACAGGTTTAAGTTGTCAAGGTCAAATTTTAAAGGTTAAATCTTACCTTATTTCGCCGATACCTCGTGACGTTTTAAGTAAATCCCAATAAGTTGCACTTTATTAACTCACTTTTTATTTGTTGTGTATAAATATAACGTTAAAAACTTATTTATTTCTATTTGAATTACGAGTTTAAAATATTAAACGTCGTTGTGACATATTTGGTTCTAAAACTTGATGTAACTAAATTCCCTGTTGTTGTTGCCAACTGTTTTTAATCCACAACTATTTGACGGGTTAAAAAATTTTTTTTTTGATTTATGAAGAGAAAATGTAAAAGAATTTTTCCCACATTCTCTAAATCCATCGCATGATGCAATCCATCAACTCCACGATTCTTTTTTTCGCTTTATTCGTAGTAAAGTCTGTAATAAAAACGTCATGGAGTTAGAAGAGTTATTTAAGATGATTCAAACTAAGAAAAAAAGATTGACTCACTCAATGTCTGATTTCTTATTAATTGGTTAATTGAAATAAAACGGTAATCTTGAATTTTTGAAAATCGCAAATGTAAATTGACGTTTATTAAACAAAAAATTTTCTCTCCAAAACGACTAGGAATTAAGAAACGAAACTTTTTGAGGTTATAAATTAACTTTTGAAGTTACGTTATACCAAATTTGAACTTTCCAAGATGAACCATTCGTGTGATATATATTTTTAAAAATCACTGATTAAATTTGACAGTTGTTAGAAGTGAGGTTAAAAAAAAATTTTTTTTCTCCAAAATAGTTAGGAGTTAAAAAATGAATCTTTTTGAGGTAATAAAAGAATGTTTGAGGTTGTATTATACCAAATTTTAATGATCCAAAATCAGTAATTCATTTTATATACATTTTTGAAAATCGTAAAGTTAAATTGACGTTTATTGAATGTGAAGCTATTCAACAAAAATAATATCTCCTAAACGGCTTGGAATTAAGTAACGAACCTCTTTGAGGTTATAAAGCAATGTTTGAGGTTATCTTATACCAAATTTAAAGTTTCCAGGATGAGCCATTCATTTTATATAACTTTTTAAAGATATCTGATTCAAATTGACGTTTATTAGAAGTGAGGTTATCCAAAAAAATTAATATCTCCTAAACGGCTTGGAATTAAGTAACAAACCTTTTTGAGGTTATAAAGCAATGTTTGAGGTTATCTTATACCAAATTTAAAGATTCCAGGATGAGCCATTCATTTTATATAACTTTTTAAAAATATCTGATTCAAATTGACGTTTATTAGAAGTGAGGTTATCCAAAAAAATTAATATCTCCTAAACGGCTTGGAATTAAGTAACGAACCTTTTTGAGGTTATAAAGCAATGTTTGAGGTTATCTTATACCAAATTTAAAGTTTCCAGGATGAGCCATTCATTTTATATAACTTTTTAAAAATATCTGATTCAAATTGACGTTTATTGAAAGTGAGGTTATCCAAAAAAATTAATATCTCCCAAACGGCTTGGAATTAAGTAACGAACCTTTTTGAGGTTATAAAGCAATGTTTGAGGTTATCTTATACCAAATTTAAAGTTTCCAAGATGAACCATTCATGTGATATATATTTTTGAAAATCGCTGATTAAATTTGACAGTTATTAGAAGTGAGGTTAAAAAAATTTTTTTTCTCCGAAATGGTTAAGAATTAAAAAATGAAACTTTTTGAGCTTATAAAGGAATGCTTGAGGTTATATTATACCAAATTTTAAAGTTCCAAAATTAATAATACTCTTTATATACATTTTTGAAAATTGCAAATGTAAATTGACGTTTATTAAAGAAAAAATTGTTCTCTCCAAAACGACTAGGAATTAAGAAACGAAACTTTTTGAGGTTATAAATTAACGTTTGAAGTTACGTTATACCAAATTTGAACTTTCCAAGATGAACCATTCATGTGATATATATTTTTAAAAATCGCTGATTAAATGTGACAGTTGTTAGAAGTGAGGTTAAAAAAATTTTTTTTCTCCGAAATGGTTAAGAGTTAAAAAATGAAACTTTTTGAGCTTACAAAGGAATGTTTGAGGTTGTATTATACCAAATTTTAATGTTCCAAAATCAATAATACGCTTTATATACATTTTTGAAAATCGCAAATTTAAATTGACGTTTATTAAAAGTGAGGTTAAAGAGAATTTACTAAAAGGGCCCAATATATTTGCTTTTGGTTAAATAATACCATTAAATTTGAAAAACGTTTAATATCTCTTTCTGCTCTATTGTACACTTTTCTGCCTCGGCTTTTAAGTGACACAGTCGTATTAAAACGGTGAATAATTTTATTGGGTCAACCTTTTTTAGGTTAATACCTCTTTGAAATGATCAACGTTTTGCGTTACCCGCATTTAGAAACGTGAACGTGACCAAAATTAAGATAACAACTTCGTGAAAACTTTTTAAACTTTTATGACGTAAAGTTTATTTTTGTGATTTGTTTTATCTTTACTCTGTGGTGTTGCTTACGCAATTTTTTAAAACTTTAAACCACAAAGCGATAAACGACTAGTTTTTTTTTTAATTTTTAACCGGATTAAAACCAAGATACAGACTTTAAGTGTGTATTTATAAAAAAATTACCTCATACTATTATATCGCGTTAGATCGTTAAGTTTTTATCTTATCAAAATAAGGTTGAGTGATGTTATCTTTGTTATAAAGTTAAAAATAAAATAGAATTGGAACGTTTTAGTTATTTTTTGTAATCAATTTAAGTAATTGATTGATTTTAATTTTTTAATAATATTAGATTAAATCTCTTCCTGGTTCCCTTTATTATAAAATTTTAAATAATTCTAAATCTATTTCGGCAAATTTCTTTGATGTTTAAATATAAAAAAATAAATATGTATTTCCCCGGAAATTTTTGTATCTTATCTAGAAAAATTTCTTTTTAAATGTATATTAACGTGACACCAACTTCCTTTTTAAGTAATATCGCACACAAAGTACGTTTTATTTGCGCATTTATCAAAAATTATTGTTAATTAAACAAAAATTTAATTAAAAAGACTTTTTTATTTTATAAAGAATGTCAACATTGCCTAACAACTTCATTTTAGATGCTAACTTCACCCGAGTTAAATGTCAAGGGATCTTTTGTTGTCTATTCCGCAAAGGCGGTGAATGTTACTCGGGAGAGATGAATTTATTTTCGATTTGGTTGATGAAATGAAATGTATTTTCTAACTGGCACAAAATGCAGCGGTTATTTTTGGGGTAAAGTTAAAAATAAATACGCCTGACAGCTTGTAAACTTTATTATTTGGCAACTTTTCAAGAATTATAAACGAAAAAAAAATGTTTTATTACAAACCACAAAGTTTCCGTATTTAAGTTTAAAGAACATTTTTGACAGATACCTGTCAAGTTCAAATTTTAAAGGTTAAGTTTTTAACTTGTCAACGTGACACAAATTGATTTTAAAACATGATGTAACTAAATTCCCTGTTAATGTTACCAACTGTCACGAACCCTACTCTCAAATTGTTGAGGGGTTAAAGAAATTGCGTAGAAATGATTTTTATTATTTATAAAGATTCAAATGATGTTTTTTCTAAATTCATGGAATGATGTAATCGCTGATTAAATTTATCGCTTTTAAAGAAAAAAATAATTATCTCCTAAACTGTTAGAAATTAAGTCATGATTTTTTTTGAGGTAATAAAGGAACGTTTGACCTTACATTATACCAAATTTAATCGTTCCAGGATGAACCATTCATTCTATATATACTTTTAAAAATCGCTGATTAAACTTGACATTTACCAAATGTTAGGTTAAAAATTATTTTCTCCAAAACTATTAGGATTTAAGAAATGAAACTTTTTGATGTTGTAGAGAAACGTTTAAAGTTATTTTATACCGAGTTTAAAGTTTCCAGGATGTACCATTTATTAGATATATATTTTATAAAATCGCTGTTTAAATTTGACGTTTGTTGAAAGTGTGGTTAAAAATGTTTTTCTCCGAAATGGTTAGGATTTAAAAAATGAAACTTTTTGAGCTTATAAAGAAATGTTTGAAGTTGTATTATACCAAATTTTAAAGTTCCAAAATCAATAATACGCTTTATATACATTTTTGAAAATTGCAAATATAAATTGATGTTTATTAAAGAAAAAATTGTTCTCTCCAAAACGACTACGAATTAAGAAACAAAACTTTTTGAGGTTATAAATTAATGTTTAAAGTTATGTTATACCAAATTTGAACTTTCCAAGATCAACCATTCATGTGATATATATTTTTAAAAATCGCTGATTAAATTTGACAGTTGTTAAAAGTGAGGTTGAAAAAAATTTTTTTCTCCGAAATGGTTAGGATTTAAAAAATGAAACTTTTTGAGCTTACAAAGGAATGTTTGAGGTTGTATTATACCAAATTTTAAAGTTCCAAGGTAAATAATTCATTTTATAAACATTTTTGAAAATAGCAGATTTAAATTGACGTTTGTTAAAAGTGAGGTTAAAAAAAAATTTTTTTCTCTAAAACGGTTAAGACTTAGGAAATGAAACTTTTTGATGTTATAAAGGAATGTTTGAAGTTATGCTGTAGCAAATTTGAACTTTCCAGGATGAACCATTCATTTGATATATACTTTTAAAAATTAGTGATAAATTTGACATTTGTTAGAAATGAGGTTAAAAAAAATTTTTTATCTCCAAAACAGTTGGGATTTATGAAATGAAACTTTTTGAGGTTATAAAGCAATGTTTGAGGTTATCTTATACCAAATTTAAAGTTTCCAAGATGAGTCATTCATTTTATATACATTTTTAAAGATATGTGATTCAAATTGATGTTTATTGAAAATGATGTTATACAAAAAAATTAATATCTCCTAAACGGCTTGGAATTAAGTAACGAACCTTGTTGAGGTTATAAAGCAATGTTTGAGGTTATCTTATACCAAATTTAAAGTTTCCAGGATGAGCCATTCATTTTATATAACTTTTTAAAAATATCTGATTCAAATTGACGTTTATTGAAAGTGAGGTTATATAAAAAAATTAATTTCTCCTAAACGGCTTAGAATTAAGTAACGAAATTTTGTGAAGTTATAAAGCAATGTTTGAGGTTATCTTATACCAAATTTAAAGTTTCCTGGATGAGCCATTCATTTTATAGAACTTTTTAAAAACATCTGATTCAAATTGACGTTTATTGAAAGTAAGTATACAAAAAAATTAATTTCTCCTAAACGGCTTGGAATGAAGTAACGAACCTTTTTGAGGTTATAAAGCAATGTTTGAGGTTATCTTATACCAAATTTAAAGTTTCCAGGATTATTTTATATACATTTTTAAAGATATTTGATTCAAATTGACGTTTATCGAAAGTGAGGTTAAAAAAAAATTTTTTCTCCGAAACGGTTAGGACTTAAGAAATGAAACTTTTTGAGGTTATAAGGGAATGTTTGAGGTTTTATTATACCAAATCAATAACATCTCGCAACACTGTCCAGGCGTTTCTCAACATGTTCTGTATCCCTATACAGGGTGTTTAGTTTAGAGTTACACCCAGCAATTAATCGTCCAAATTCTCCACTGGAGTAGTGTAAACTAATGTCTTCAGAGATCCCCCACGCCAGTAAGTCCTCCTAGTAGAAATATCGGTCCAATTAGATAATCATCGCCTCCAACCTCAACATCCTTAGTATCTTCCAATGTTATCATTGCCTCAGCAATACTTGTTCCTCAGCATCTTCTCCATCATTATTGATAAATGATGCTCTTTGATACCTCTGAAGCTCATCCCTTCCTAAATATTCTTCAACATCGTTTATGACAAGACTCAAAATTGTCTCTGATATCAGTCAAAATTTTTCTGGCCTTCCTCAATATCGCCGCGTATCTTGAAGATCGTTTTTGCCACCGCTTTACTTTGTTTTTGACATCATTCAACACATAATTTTATTTTCCAGGCATCAACAATTGATGGAGTTCGAAAAGGAGCATGTCTTTTCTGCCAAGAATACTTTATGGACCTATATTTATTAGCAGAATTAAAAACAATTAGTTTGAAGGTGACAACAGTCGACATGCAAAAACCGCCCCCCGATTTTCGCACCAATTTCGAAGCGACTCCGCCTCCGATTCTAATCGATAGGGGGACCGCAATTTTAGAAAACGAAAAGATAGAAAGATATATCATGAAAAATGTACCTGGTGGATACAATCTGTTTGTTCAGGTAAAAATAAAATCAATTCCTTTTTCTTTTTGAATTAAATTTTGTTTGTTTTAACCAGGATAAAGAAGTAGCGACTTTAATCGAAAACCTTTACAGCAAACTAAAATTAATTTTGGTTAAAAAAGACGAAAAGAAAAACAACCAATTAACCAGTCATCTAAAAAGGATTAACGAGCACCTCCAAAAACGTGAAACAAGGTTTCTTACGGGCGACGCAATTTGTTGTTTCGATTGCGAATTAATGCCCAGATTACAGCATATTCGCGTCGCTGGTAAATACTTCGTCGATTATGAAATACCGGAAGATTTCGTCGCTTTGTGGCGTTACATGTATCATATGTATCAATTGGACGCGTTCACCCAAAGTTGTCCCGCCGATCAAGACATTATCAATCATTACAAGCTTCAGCAAGCGATGAAAATGAAAAAACACGAAGAATTAGAATTGCCAACGTACACAACGTCGATACCAGTTGATATTGGTGATGTTCAGTAAAAAGTACCAAATTCATTTTTTGAAGGGTTTTTTTTTGTATGATGTTAAGCTTTTTAACGCGCTTTGTTTAGGTTATGTTTAAAAAATATATATAAAACGAAAAGGAATTATGTGTACAAGTTGAAATTGAAATTGAGGCGTTTTAATTTGCCATAATCATTTTTGAGTTTTTAAGAATTTAATTTAACATTATTTTTGTAATTTAATTTTTATTTTGGTTAATCACTAACTTAATAAATTATACAGTAACTTAATTAAATTTAAAATTTAAAGCAGTTGGTATGAAAGTTAATAATTTTTGCAGATTCAAAATATTTTTGTAACTGTTTTTATTTGGAAGTATTTTTAATTTTATTTCTTTATCGTGTAGGATTAAAGTATGTACAGTTTAATTGAGTTATATAACTTTAATTTTTCCATATTATTAATAATAAAAGATTGAGGATTATATTGATCATTTTATTTTTATTGTAAGCACTTAATATCACTTTTCTCTGAAACGGTTAGGAATTCAGAAATGAAACTTTGTGAGGTTACAAAAGAATGTTTGAGGTTGTATTATACCAAATTTTAAAGTTCCAAAGCCAATAATACGATTTATATACATTTTTGAAAACCGCAAATGTAAATTGACGTTTATTAAACGAAAAATTGTTCTCTCCAAAACGACTAGGAATTATGAAACGAAACTTTTTGAGGTTATAAATTAACGTTTGAAGTTACGTTATACCAAATTTGAATTTTCCAAGATTCATGTGATATATATTGTGATAGAATTAACCATCCTTTAGTTCACCGAGAGAACATAACCTTAAAATTTTGACAGAGATTTTTTGTTGGTGGAAATCTTATCTAAAACCGTTTAGTTTGCTTCCAAAAGTATCAATTAATATAGTTCAGCTCCTAAAGCACATTTTTCATCCATCCTTTGATGTTTTAACGTTATTTTGAGGAGGAAATCATTGATTTAAAATTGAATATTTCTAACTTTGCTCATTGATGAAATTTGGCGTGTACTCCAATGTATGTCTGAAAACAAGAAAAGACAACGTTGAATACGAAGTTTTATTACGATTAATAAAGGAATAAGGGAGAAATCAACGGAAAAAGAATTTAATTTTGAAGGTTAGTTCCGAGAAAATCCGAGAGATGACGCTAGTTTCGATGCAAGAATTTTGAATTTTGAAAAAGGCGCGAACCTAAGAACCAATCAGAAACGAGGAAGAAACAGTTGGAGTGCCGGGGTATATAAGGAAATCGCGAACAGGCAGCGAGAAAGTCGTCGTCTGACCAGCGTCGAATCCACGTCGTCAGAAAAAAAAAATTTAAATCTCCGAGAGATAACCTTTAAAATTAAAATAATTTTATAAAGCCAATTTAACCAACGATATAAAAAAAAGAATCAACCTACAACCTATTCCGAGAACTCCTGAAACTTCCTCGAGATCATCCGAGACCCGAAATCCGAAGAACAGCAGTCCAATTTTCCATCAGAAGAATCCTGTAGACAATCCCGTATAATCCGTAAGAGAGACCGGAAACTACGAGGAATCCTGTAACCAATCCAGAAAACTAGTTCGTGCTCCGAAACCAAGAAACAATCCATTATCCTGATACCACATTGAATTCCAATCCTTTCTTTTTCGCAGTGAGTTGGATGATAATTTATTTTTCTTATTTAACATAACCTACAAAAGGAAAATCAACGAATCAAACTCAAAAGACACCTCACAAGAGTTTCCTTATAATTTTATCAATACTTACTTGTGGGTAAAGATTTTTCAGTTTGTCTTGTATAACTTTCTTTTATTTAACACTATTTTTCCAACGAGTTTGATTTCGATTTAAGGCGTTAGCCATTTGTTATTTCTAAGAACGGATATAACGAGTTTTTATCCTGCTCTCTCTCTCTCTCTCTCTCGAAAGAATAAACGTGTTCTCTCTCAGATCGATGTTTCAGTCGATTATCGCAGTTTTCTATTTTATTTAAAAGTTACCTCTCGTCAATAGGCATTGTTGATAAAGTAAATTTAGAAAAACAATTTTATTTTCGTTATTCATAAAACGTGTTAATTTTTTTTGTTTAATTAAAAGAATTTTTGTCGAACCTTATTATTTTTCTTTTTGAACCTGAACTTGCCCGAAACCCTGAGTTTAACAAAAGTCTCATAGCTAAAGAAACCCCAATATATAATATGTAAACAAACAAAACACTACAATATTTTTTAAAATCGCTGATTAAATTTGACAGTTGTTAAAAGTGAGGTTAAAAAAAAATTTTTTTCTCCAAAATAGTTAGGAGTTAAAAAATGAATCTTTTTGAGGTTATAAAGGAATGTTTGAGGTTGTATTATATCAAATTTTAAAGATCCAAAATCAATAATTCATTTTATATACATTTTTGAAAATCGTAAAGTTAAATTGACGTTTATTGAATGTGAAGTTATTCAAAAAAATTATTTTCTCCCAAACGGTTTGGAATTAAGGAACGAATCTTTTTGAGGTTACAAAGCAATATTTGAGGTTATCTTATACCAAATTTGAAGTTTCCAAGATGAGCCATTTATTTTATATAATTTTTTAAAAATATCTGATTCAAATTGACGTTTATTGAAAGTGAGGTTATACAAAAAAATTAATGTCTCCTGAACGGCTTGGAATTAAGTAACCAACCTTTTTGAGGTTATAAAGCATTGTTTGAGGTTATCTTATACCAAATTTAAAGTTTCCAAGATAAGCCATTCATTTTATATAATTTTTTAAAATAACTGATTCAAATTGACGTTTATTGAAAGTGAGGTTATACAAAAAAATTAATGTCTCCTAAACGGCTTGGAATTAAGTAACCAACCTTTTTGAGGTTATAAAGCAATGTTTGAGGTTATCTTATACCAAATTTAAAGTTTCCAGGATGAGCCATTCATTTTATATAATTTTTTAAAAATATCTGATTCAAATTGACGTTTATTGAAAGTGAGGTTATACAAAAAAATTAATTTCTCCTAAACGGCTTGGAATTAAGTAACGAACCTTTTTGAGGTTATAAAGCAATGTTTGAGGTTATCTTATACCAAATTTAAAGTTTCCAGGATGAGCCATTCATTTTATATAACTTTTTAAAAATATCTGATTCAAATTGACGTTTATTGAAAGTGAGGTTATACAAAAAAATTAATTTCTCCCAAACGGCTTGGAATTAAGGAACGAACCTTTTTGAGGTTATAAAGGAATGTTTGAGGTTATCTTATACCAAATTTAAAGTTTCCAGGATGAGCCATTCATTTTATATAACTTTTTAAAAATATGATTCAAATTGACGTTTATTGAAAGTGAGGTTATACAAAAAAATTAATTTCTCCTAAACGGCTTGGAATTAAGGAACGAACGTCATGGAGGTTATAAAAGAATGTTTGAGGTTATCTTATACCAAATTTAAAGTTTCCAGGATGAGCCATTCATTTTATATACATTTTTAAAAATATGATTCAAATTGACGTTTATTGAAAGTGAGGTTATACAAAAAAATTAATTTTTCCTAAACGGCTTGGAATTAAGTAACCAACCTTTTTGAGGTTATAAAGCAATGTTTGAGGTTATCTTATACCAAATTTAAAGTTTCCAAAATGAGCCATTTATTTTATATAATTTTTTAAAAATATCTGATTCAAATTGACGTTTATTGAAAGTGAGGTTATACAAAAAAATTAATTTCTCCCAAACGGCTTGGAATTAAGGAACGAATCTTTTTGAGGTTATAAAGCAATGTTTGAGGTTATCTTATACCAAATTTAAAGTTTCCAGGATGAGCCATTCATTTTATATAATTTTTTAAAAATATCTGATTCAAATTGACGTTTATTGAAAGTGAGGTTATACAAAAAAATTAATATCTCCTAAACGGCTTGGAATTAAGGAACGAACCTTTTTGAGGTTATAAAACAATGTTTGAGGTTATCTTATACCAAGGTTTATAGAACATAAGGTTACCTCATTCCCTATGCCTCTGTAGTATCGATTATTACCCCGCAAATTGACGTCACTGGTTCGATACAGTCAAAATAAAAGATAGCCTATACGTGCCTATACTGTGGTACAGTCTATACAAAATATTTAAACCTCGCATCGTGTTGTGTTGTTCATAGAACCAGCTACGTCACTGACCCACCTTGCCTCTCAGAGGAGGAGAATCGGTATTGGGTAACCTTATGTTCTATAGACCTTGATCTTATACCAAATTTAAAGTTTCCAGGATGAGCCATTCATTTTATATAACCTTTTAAAAATATCTGATTCAAATTGACGTTTATTAGCAGTGAGGTTATCCAAAAAAATTAATATCTCCTAAACGGCTTGGAATTAAGTAACGAAGCTTTTTGAGGTTATAAAGCAATGTTTGAGGTTACCTTATACCAAATTTAAAGCTTCCAGGATGAGCCATTCATTTTATAAACATTTTTGAAAATAGCAGATTTAAATTGACGTTTGTTAAAAGTGAGGTTAAAAAATTTTTTTTCTCTAAAACGGTTAAGACTTAAGAAATGAAACTTTTTGATGTTATAAAGGAATGTTTGAAGTTATGTTGTAGCAAATTTGAACTTTCCAGGATGAACCATTCATTTGATATATACTTTTAAAAATTAGTGATAAATTTGACATTTGTTAGAAATGAGGTTAAAAAAAATTTTTTATCTCCAAAACAGTTGGGATTTATGAAATGAAACTTTTTGAGGTTATAAAGCAATGTTTGAGGTTATCTTATACCAAATTTAAAGTTTCCAGGATGAGCCATTCATTTTATATAATTTTTTAAAAATATCTAATTCAAATTGACGTTTATTGAAAGTGAGGTTATACAAAAAAATTAATTTCTCCCAAACGGCTTGGAATTAAGGAACGAATCTTTTTGAGGTTATAAAGCAATGTTTGAGTTTATCTTATACCAAATTTAAAGTTTCCAGGATGAGCCATTCATTTTATATAATTTTTTAAAAATATGATTCAAATTGACGTTTGTTGAAAGTGAGGTTATACAAAAAAATTAATTTCTCCTAAACGGCTTGGAATTAAGTAACCAACCTTTTTGAGGTTATAAAGCAATATTTGAGGTTATCTCATACCAAATTTAAAGTTTCCAGGATGAGCCATTTATTTTATACAATTTTTTAAAAATATCTGATTCAAATTGACGTTTATTGAAAGTGAGGTTATACAAAAAAAATAATTTCTCCCAAACGGCTTGGAATTAAATAACGAACCTTTTTGAGGTTATAAAGCAATATTTGAGGTTATCTTATACCAAATTTAAAGTTTCCAGGATGAGCCATTCATTTTATATAATTTTTTAAAAATATGATTCAAATTGATGTTTATTGAAAGTGAGGTTATACAAAAAAATTAATTTCTCCTAAACGACTTGGAATTAAGTAACCAACCTTTTTGAGGTTATAAAGCAATGTTTGAGGTTATCTTATACCAAATTTAAAGTTTCCAAGATGAGCCATTCATTTTATATAAATTTTTAAAAATATGATTCAAATTGACGTTTATTGAAAGTGAGGTTATACAAAAAAATTAATTTCTCCTAAACCGCTTGGAATTCAGGAACGAACCTTTTTGAGGTTATAAAGCAATGTTTGAGGTTATCTTATACCAAATTTAAAGTTTCCAGGATGAACCATTCATTTTATCTAAATTTTTAAATATATGATTCAAATTGACGTTTATTGAAAGTGAGGTTATACAAAAAAATTAATTTCTCCCAAACGGCTTGGAATTAAGAAACGAATCTTTTTGAGGTTATAAAGCAATGTTTGAGGTTATCTCATACCAAATTTAAAGTTTCCAGGATGAGTCAGTCATTTTATTTAAATTTTTAAAGATATGATTCAAATTGACGTTTATTGAAAGTGAGGTTATACAAAAAAATTAATTTCTCCTAAACGGCTTGGAATTAAGTAACCAACCTTTTTGAGGTTATAAAGCAATGTTTGAGGTTATCTTATACCAAATTTAAAGGTTCCAGGATGAGCCATTCATTTTATTTAAATTTTTAAAAATAACTGATTCAAAGTGACGTTTATTGAAAGTGACGTTATACAAAAAAATTAATTTCTCCTAAACGGCTTGGAATTAAGAAATGAATCTTTTTGAGGTTATAACGGAAAGTTTGAGGTTAACTTACACCAAATTTAAAGTTTCAAAGATGATCCATTCATTTTATATACATTTTTAAAGATATTATTCAAATTGACGTTTATTGGAAGTGACAATATACAAAAAAAATTAATATCTTCTAAACGGCTTGGAATTAAGTAACGAATTTTTTGTTAGTAATTCTAGTTTTGTATCAGCAGTTATATTCTGAAAGATTTACCTAGTTTTCCATCAGCAAAAGATTTACCTAGTTTTCATAGTTTCTCATTGACAGAGATCTATGTTCTATATGTTATGAAGAAATCGCAGTGTTTTCTTCTATTATCAGTATCTAACTTTGCTTTAGTATTTTTTTTCTTATACAAGCAGTAGCTAGTCTTCTACCAGCTGTTTCTAGTCTTCTAGCAGCAATATCTGGACTTTTATCATCAGTGTTTAATTTTTTGTCAGGTAATTCTAGTTTTGTATCAGCAGTACCAAGACTTCTGCTAACAGTATCTTATCTTCTAGAAGCTTATACCTAGTTTTCCATTAGCAACTCTTCTGCAATAAGAATTTAATTTTTGTCATTGACAGAGGTCTATGTTAATAAAAAATTAATATCTCCTAAACGGCTTGGAATTAAGTAACGAACCTTTTTGAGGTTATAAGGCAATGTTTGAGGTTATTTTATACAAAATTTAAAGTTTCCAGGATGAGCCATTTATTTTATATAACTTTTTAAAAATATCTGATTCAAATTGACGTTTATTGAAAGTGAGGTTATACAAAAAAATTAATTTCTCCCAAACGGCTTGGAATTAAGGAACGAATCTTTTTGAGGTTATAAAGCAATGTTTGAGTTTATCTTATACCAAATTTAAAGTTTCCAGGATGAACCATTCATTTCATCTAAATTTTTAAAGATATGATTCAAATTGACGTTTATTGAAAGTGATGTTATACAAAAAAATTAATTTCTCCTAAACGGCTCAGAATTAAGCAACGAACCTTTTTGAGGTTACAAAGCAATATTTGAAGTTATCTTATACCAAATTTAAAGTTTCCAAGATGAGCCATTCATTTTATATAATTTTTTAAAAATAACTGATTCAAAGTGACGTTTATTGAAAGTGACGTTATACAAAAAAATTAATTTCTCCTAAACGGCTTGGAATTAAGAAATGAAACTTTTTGAGGTTATAACGGAAAGTTTGAGGTTAACTTATACCAAATTTAAAGTTTCCAAGATGAGCCATTCATTTTATATACATTTTTAAAGATATTATTCAAATTGACGTTTATTGGAAGTGACAATATACAAAAAAAATTAATATCTCCTAAACGGCTTGGAATTAAGTAACGAATTTTTTGTTAGTAATTGTAGTTTTGTATCAGCAGTTATATTCTGAAAGATTTACCTAGTTTTCCTAGTTTCTCATTGACAGAGATCTATGTTCTATATGTTATGAAGAAATCGCAGTGTTTTCTTCTATTATCAGTATCTAACTTTGCTTTAGTATTTTTTTTCTTATACAAGCAGTAGCTAGTCTTCTACCAGCTGTTTCTAGTCTTCTAGCAGCAATATCTGGACTTTTATCTTCAGTGTTTAATTTTTTGTAGGTAATTCTAGTTTTGTATCAGCAGTACCAAGACTTCTGCTAACAGTATCTTATCTTCTAGAAGCTATACCTAGTTTTCCATTAGCAATATCTACTCTTCTGCAATAAGAATTTAATTTTTGTCATTGACAGAGGTCTATGTTAATAAAAAATTAATATCTCCTTATTATTATTAATTAAGTAATGAATTTTTTTGAGGTTATAAAGCAATGTTTGAGGTTATCTTATACCAAATTTAAAATTTCCAAGATAAGCCATTAATTTTATATAACTTTTTAAAAATAACTGATTCAAATTGACGTTTATTGAAAGTGAGGTTATACAAAAAAATTAATTTCTCCTAAACATCTTGGAATTAAGGAACGAACCTTTTTGAAGTTATAAAGGAATGTTTAAAGTTGTGTTATACCAAATTTTAAAGTTCCTAGAGGTCAATAATTTTATAAATATTTTTGAAAATCGCCGACTAAGTTTGACATTAGTAAAAAGTGAGGTTAAACATTTTTAATACAAGATTAATAATAAAAGATTAAGGATTATATTGATTATTCTATATTTATAGTAAGTACACAACATTATTGCCATAATTTAATAATTAAAAAAATAAATAAATTTGTTTAATTCGGTTTATATCACTTAAATAGGTTGTACATACTTTATAGGGCTTTTATAGAAATTAGATGGCAAAAACGACCTTAAAAACATATGTGTAATAACCGCGGTTATTCCCCAAATCTTTCTTTTCCCCCCGAAATAAACCGGCAAAGAAATTTGATTTTTGAACTGCGTAAATCCAGCTTTCCTGGGATCACATAAAACCTCAATGGGAACCGTAAAAACTTCCTCGACTTCTTCCCTATTAATCCCCGGATAATTATCATCCATATGAATGTTAATTTGCCCCACAACCGGTAATATATAAACATCTCTAGCCACCATCAAATTCCCAGATCCCCAAATCCTCACATTTTCATCTCCAATTCCAAGTTCTTCTTTAGTTTCGCGTAAAGCAGTTTCTTCCAAACTTTCCCCAACGTCTTGTTTTCCACCTGGAAAACTCACTTGACCGCGGTGACTCCGTATTTGTAAAGTTCTTAAAGTATACAATAACGAAAGTTTTCCTTCGATCATACAAACGGGAATTAAAACTGCCGCCTTTTTGGTCGGTTCAACAGATCGCATTTTGATCGGTGTCATGTTCTTCAGTTTCGCCACTGTATTCCGGATGTTTACTTCGCTTAACGCCGTTTCGACGTTGAACACACTCGAACATCTTACGCACTGAAATTGGACCAATTTAATTGTTAAAAAAGGTATGGTTTTGTTAAACATTTCACTATGAACTCGTTAAGGATGTCATAACACGTTTCAAGGTTCAAACGCTTAAAAAATACAGAATTCGTTGACAAAAAGTTGAGATAACCCGATTTTTATTGAAGCTAATCCTTTTTTAAATAAATACGAGTAGTATTATTGATAACGTTTTGGTTTTTACAACGAATCTAATTTATTTATTATTGATTACACTTTTATAAGTCAAGGTTATTTGGCCATCTAACGTTAAGGTGGTGAAATATGAAGTTTGTGGTTTGTTTTGTAGATGGCGCTACTTTCACAAATTAAATTTAAAAATTATAATTGTGTATTATAATATTATGTATTTGTTAACAAAACAGATAAAGTCTGATTAATATTACACAATTTTAAAAGAAATTGTTAATTTGTTGAAATATTTAGTATTGCAATGACGGTGAGTGTGACGCAATTTGGGTTGCCTATACTAATAGTTAAATATTTTATGTTAGATAGGTTGGGGAGGAGTGCAATGATAAAACGAAATAATTAGTAATTATTTTTTATTTTCTTTAAGAAATAGGTTATAAAAAACTTGATTTAAACAATTTCGGTGTAAAGTGGAAGTTAGTCTTTTTTGGCACAAGGTTTTTTTTGCCCAGGGAAGATAAAAATATAACTAAAAGATACAAATAAAGTGTATAGCGTTAAGACCAGAATACAATTTAAACAAAAATATAAATAATAACATACCGTAAACATTAAAAAAATTATTTCTAAATAAAAATATTTACAAGTAACACATTTTAATCGTATAAAATTATTAAAAATAATCATTTATTTATACTTATTTGGAATTAAAAAGATAATCATTTTTTGTAGTTACATAATTATTTACAATTATTGAAACATAATATGGCCAAATCTTTCATCGTCTTTATCCAGGTTATTCATTTTTACTCCATAATAAATTAAAACACATTTAAGGCACATTTTTCTCATCTTTTTTAATTCGCTAGAGAGATTCGAATCCTGATATATCGCTACCCTAAAATTAAACAATTAAATTTAATCACAATTTATTTAAATTCATTTTTACCCCTCCTGGTTTATACAGATGGGTGTGAGGTAATAAAAACGTCGAACCCAAATCTCGCTCTGCCATTGTATTTGCCTCCTTAAACAAAAAAAATTAACAAAAATAACCAACTAATAATTTTTTGAGGTTGCTATATAAACGTCATTTGGGTTGCATAACCAAATATGTCAACATTTAAATGTAAACATTCCAATTTGATTTATTTTATTAATTAATTATGAATTAAAATAAAAATGAATAAATATAATTAATTATTGAAATAAAAAAATAATTAAGCAATAAAATATAAAAATATTTTTTTGAGGTTATGTTATATAAACGTCATTTGGGTCCATGATTAAATATGTCAAAATTGAAATTTAAACATTCCTATTTAATTTATTTTAATAATTAATTATGAATTAAAATAGAAATTAATAAACATAATTAATTATTGAAATAAAAAAATAATTAAGCAATAAAATATAAAAATATTTTTTTGAGGTTATGTTATATAAACGTCATTTGGGTCCATGATTAAATATGTCAAAATTGAAATTTAAACATTCCTATTTAATTTATTTTAATAATTAATTATGAATTAAAATAGAAATTAATAAACATAATTAATTATTGAAATAAAAAAATAATTAAGCAATAAAATATAAAAATATTTTTTTGAGGTTATGTTATATAAACGTCATTTGGGTCCATGATTAAATATGTCAAAATTGAAATTTAAACATTCCTATTTAATTTATTTTAATAATTAATTATGAATTAAAATAGAAATTAATAAACATAATTAATTATTGAAATAAAAAAATAATTAAGCAATAAAATATAAAAATATTTTTTTGAGGTTATGTTATATAAACGTCATTTGGGTCCATGATTAAATATGTCAAAATTGAAATTTAAACATTCCTATTTAATTTATTTTAATAATTAATTATGAATTAAAATAGAAATTAATAAACATAATTAATTATTGAAATAAAAAAATAATTAAGTAATAAAATATAAAAATAATTTTTTGAGGTTATGTTATAGAAACGTCATTTGGGTTGCATAACCAAATACGTCAAAATTAAAATTTTCTTATTTAATTAATTTTGATAATTAATTAAAATAAAAATTAATAAATATAATTAATTATTGAAATAAAAAAAATAATTAAGTAATAAAATATAAACATTTTTTTGAGGTTACGTTATATAAGCGTCATTTGGGTAGAATGATTAAATATGTCAAAATTGAAATTTAAACATTAATATTTAATTTATTTTAATAATTAATTATAAATTAAAATAAAAATATAATTAATTATTGAAATAAAAAAATTAAGTAATAAAATATAAAAATAATTTTTTGAGGTTATGTTATAGAAACGTCATTTGGGTTGCATAACCAAATAGGTCAAAATTTAAATTAATAAATACAATTATTATTCTTACATCATTTGGGTGTTGCGATGACGGTTTTGAGTCATAATCGTGCCGGAATGATTTCATGGGGGGTTGAATCGTCGTTTCATCGTATGATCTCGCCTCGGAAACGGTTCTAAAACTTAATTAGTTTAATAAAATTCAATTAATTAATTAAATTCATTACGTTATCCGCGTATTCATCCAATTAGACATAGTTTCGTCGATATCGTCATCATCGTCGTAAGTATTCCTTAAAGTATTGAATTGCGACCTTGTCCCGGTTGTATTCGACAACAAATCGGCGCTAATTTTTTGAATTAACGTGGCATTCTCGCTCCGATCGGCCTCGGTTCCGCACGTCGTAGCAATCGTCCCTAAAGTTCCCATATTATTAACTACGGTTGCTGAAACTTCAAATCCAGCCGAAATTAGCGCCCCCGATGAGGGTTTTCTTATTTGTTTCTCTTCGATGTAAGATTCGCTGTGAGCCGAGCTAAATTTACGCTGATTTATTTGATTTGAAAGTTTATCGGGGGAAGGCCCCGCGTCTAAATAACTCAATAATTTCGCTTCGTTACTAGTTGACGAAGATTTCCTTTTTTTATTGTTATTATTATTATTATTACTCGAAGTCGCTTGATTCGGATGATATTTAGCTCTTGGAATCATTACGGTTAACGAACGATCTTTCTGATCACTTTGCATATTTTCGTCTTGATTTAATTTCGGCTTTTTGAGCGCCCCCTTTAATTTTTGATTTTTATTTTGAGCCACAATCTTTTTTGGGACGTACGGTAAAGTGTTATTATCAGATTGTCCACTCTCTGAGCTTGTATCTTGAATCATAGCCCGCCTATCTAAAGTATTTTGACGATTTTGTTGCACCCTTTGCGGCAAAAAACTCATCCCCGTTGCGATGTTATTCTTCTTCGGGCTGCGTTTACAACAAGTTAAAACGACACAAATGAAAAGTAGCGTTAAAAGAATCGCCCCAAGGGTTACTAATCCGATTAATAAAACTTTCAAATTGACTTGGCAACCATCCCCAGCGTACCATTGGAAGCATTCGCAAATTACGCGATCATCCCCGCGATCGTAGCACGTCCCGTGATAATTACAACGCTCACACCCGATTATCTCAGCGGAACAAATCCTCCCAGGGTACTGGATATTCTCGGATAAATCCGAATAACCCTCTTTACAACTACAAGTGTATGTTCCCTTTAAATTGAAGCAATGCGCGTAATCAGAACAATCATGATACAGCTTATTCGAGCACTCGTTAAAATCTTCCGCTTTGAGGTGCTCCAAATTATCTTTTGAGGCGTACAACTCAGTTCCGCCCAAACTGTAATTATTATTTCTTAAATAGCGCTTAAAAGTTTCTTTTAGCCGCGTCTCTTCGGCGTTATCGGAAAGCTAACGGAAAATAGTATATTAAAAGTCAAATTGATTCCATAAATTAATTTTTGAACTTAAACGTCAATGTGACACAAATTCAATGTTACCAACTGTAACCAACTTCACAACAATTTGTCAAAATTAAATTAAATGTTTCTTTTTTTACGAAAATTAATTAATTTATGCTTAAATGATACGAAAAAATAAATTTGTTTAAGTTTTTTTAACATCAAACCTTTAAAAAGTCCCAAAAAATTGAACTAAAGTTTTTTAAAAATTTTGACGTTTCAAATTTGTTTATAAAATTTATTTTAATAAAAGACTCACTTGTAAATTAAAATTGTTGGTTAAAACCCCATTTGAGTCGCTTCCAAACCCGTTTATGCTAACGCCGTGGTAAATATCACGTAAATCAGATTGCATGACCATTCGGTGGAGACCTTCTTGAGTTATCGATGATAATCGGAGGTAATCCGTGCTGTTATGATTCGATAAAGTTCCTTTATAGAATAATTTATCCTTTGAGTAACGTTCCAATCCAATGTTTAAGGTGTAAGTGTAAGTTGCTGTTAAAAATAAATAAATATTAATGTAAATAAATTTTTTTTAGGTTATGTCATTTGGGTTGCATAACCAAATATGTCAAAATTTAAACTCTTATTTAATTAATTTTGAATTAAAATTGAAATAAAAAAATATAATTTTTTGAGATTATGTTACATAAACGTCATTTGAATCGCGTTATTAAATTTAGTTTAATAATTAATTATGAATTAAAGTAAAAATGAATAAATATAATTAATTATTGAAATAAAAAAATAAGTAAGAAAATATAAAAATAATTTTTTGAGGTTATGCTATAGAAACGTCATTTGGGTTGCATAACCAAATATTTAAAAATTTAAATTTTCTTATTTAATCAATTTTAATAAGTAATTATGAATTAAAATAAAAATTAATAAACATAATTAATTATTGAAATATAAAAATTTTTTGAAGTTACCTTATATAAACGTCATTTAGGATTTAGCATGATTAAATATGTCAAAATTGAAATTTAAACGTCCCTATTTAATTTATTTTAATAATTAATTATGAATTAAAATAAAAATTAATAAATATAATTAATTATTGAAATAGAAAAATAATTAAGTAATAAAATAACAAAATATTTTTTTGAGGTTATATAAACGTCATTTAGGTTGCATAACCCATATGTCAAAATTAAAATTTTCTTATTTAATTAATTTTGAATTAAAATAAAAATTAAGAAATACAATTAATTAATTTTTAATTCGGAGGAGTAAAATGAAATCACGTTTACAGTCTTTTTCAAAACCTTCAAGGAAGGTTAGCGCATAGAAAATAGTTTTAGCGTTGTAAACTCGACCCTTTCTAATTCTAGGTCTAGGGCAGCCATGTCCAACCCAAATTACTCTTCGGGCCAAAATTTAGGAATGTACAAGGCACTGGGCCGCCACCCACCTGAACAAGAAAATTTCAATTCTAGCGCACACTCGCGCTCAAATGAGATACGTATACACAAACTAGCATGTACACAGATATACACAATAATATATAGGTATTTCAGTAAATTACAACAGATATTTAATGTGAAACTTGTTTATTTATTTTATTTGAAATTTTTTTAATATCAACTTCTAATTTTGTTGTGGCACAACGTAACTGATTCGTCANTAGTTCTAGGTCTAGTGTTAGTTCTAGTTTTACACTGCCACTAGAACTAACACAAGACCTAGAACTAGAATTATTCGGGTTTAGCCATACTGAGAGACGTGCAGCTTAAACTCGAATGTTTCTAGGCAGCCCTTCTTTTTGAAAACACTTCTCCGAATTCAAAAATACAGTACCTCTAATAAAAAAAAAACCCATTTTTTTAAGGTTATGTTATATAAACGTCATTTGGGTTGCATAACCAAATATTTAAAAAATTAAATTTTCTTATTTAATTAATTTTAATAATTAATTATGAATTAAAATAAAAATTAATAAACATAATTAACTATTGAAACAAAAAAATAATTAAATATTAAAATAAAAAAATGATATAGTAATAAAATATAAAAATAATTTTTTGAGGTTATTTGGGTTGCATAACCAAATGCGTCAAAATTAAAACTTAATTTTACTTTTATTAATTAATTTTAATTAAAATTAAAACTACTTACGTTTACAAGGATGATCCGGAAACATTCTAGCGAAACCCGGTCGACAAACGCACCTCATTAACCCCTCGATTCTTTGACACAACTCATTTTTAGTGGCTTTGCACTCCGGGTTACATTTATTATTATCATTTTGGGACGTTTCAAAGGTTGGTATTGAGATGCCCCCCAATAAAATCTTATCGACATCGTTCGTCTCTAAAATTTCATCCCTCGAGATCGTTTCTTCATCCTTAATCACACTCCCTTTATTTTTGTCGTTTACCACAATCAAAATCGAATCGTTTTCTTCAACTTCCGGTTTTGCTTCAACATAAATTTCACCGCGATTATTTTCTTTAACTTCATTCACTTCTTTCTCATTATTTATTATTAACTCCTCCTCTTTAAATTCTTCATTATTTTCCTCATCTTCAACGTCATAATTTTCTTTTTGATAAATATTTGATGTAACCTCAATTTTTTCGATAGACGTTGGTTTAATTTGTCCGTATTTAACCCCCGGTGAATACAAAGTATTATGAACCGTTTTCGTAATCGTATTAATAAACGATGTGTGTTTAAACAAAGTCATTAATTCGGTTATTGTATCAATTTTAGTAATCATTTCGGTTTTCGTTACGAGCATAGTCATCGTCGATGGTGGACCCCCCGAAGTTTTAATAACCTTCGTTTCGGTGACAGTTACCGTTGAGGTTATGGTGTGGGTTATGTATTTAGTCGAAACTGGTTTTATCGAAACGATTTTATTAATTAACGTTTTTTGGGGGCGCCTTTTAATACTGGGATGATGATGATGGTGATAAGTTCCATAATGAGTTATTTCGGTCATCGTTGTAGGGGATGTATTTATTGACGTTTTTATTGATGCATCTAAATTTGGGGTGTTTCTTAAAATTTCTTGATCGTTTATTAACGTTTCTTGTTCTTGAATTATTTGTTGAGTTAAAGACGGGATTGAACCGACAATTTCAATTTTTGTTGTTAAAATTTCAATTTGCGGGGATAAATTCGTTTGGGTTGGTACGATTTGTTCGGTCGGTAATGAAGAAATCGGTTTATTTTCTTCCACAACATTATTTTTCGATTCAAACACTTTTAAAGTATCTTTCGAGTCAAACACTTTTAAATTATCTTTCGATTCAAACACTTTTAAAGTTGTAATTGTTGAAATAATCGGTGTTATTGTTGTTGTCGTTGATGTCGGTAATATCGCATTTATTGACGTTGACGTTTTAGTTTCTGATTCAATTTTCGTCGGTTTAATTCGTATCGATTCAATTTCATTATTAATTTTCGATTTATCAAGTTCAAATTCATCCCTAATTTTCGGTGTTGTAACAAAATTCGTTTTATCTTCTTGCTTATCATCTCCAATACTTTCAAAACTCCACCCATCAACCGTTTTTTCAGTAACCCTCGCAACTTCGTTCTTTTTCGTTTCATTTTTAATCAAAACTACATTCGGCTGCCAATTATAAACCAAATTGTTATTAAATTTCGTCGTAATTACTTTTTGTGTCGTCGTTTTTAATTTATAATTGGGACGATGGGTTGTAATCGGAGGTGGGGGGGTTAACCCAAAAACTTCTTCCGTCGTAATCGGGGGTGGGATCATTTCCTCGTGGGGTTTGGGCACTAAATTAAGATGCTTTTCGGTGATTTCCTCCGGTTTAATCGTTTCTAATTTGTACTCAACATTAACGTTCGGGGGTTTCATTTCGGTGTTAATTTCTTTGATAGGGGGAGGTTTCATGATCTCTAAATCGTTGGTATTTTTAATTTTGGTAACATTTTTGTTCATGTTAAACGGAATTTCGGTTTGTGTTCCTAAATTGTTGATTTCAAACGGATTTATTTCCATCAACGGCTTATGAGTTGAAATTTTTGTATCGACTGGTAACGAAGTGACGAAATTCGTTGTTGTTGTGCGTTGTTTTTGAGTGTTTCTATAAAAACCATCTTTTTTGTGATGTATTGTTAAATTAGTTTTTATAAAAACTTCCCCACTCCCTAATTTCGTAAATAACCCATCTTCATTTACATCCAAATCTAATTTAACTTGATTAATTTGATTACTTTGTTGATTTTCTTTCCTCACAATTAATTTATTTGCACCAACAGTTTTATTTATTATTTTAAACGGTTGTATATTCGATTCTTGGATTACTTCACCTTCTTCATTAACATCCCCATTGTGTGATTCACCTTGATTTAAATCAATCGCATTAAAAACATACGGATTTTTATTTTTATTGTTATTATTATTATTATTAAGAGTAGGTTTTAATGGAATACTCATTGGAGTACTCGAAGGCTTCGTAAATCGTTTAAAATCATCTTGATTAAACAAATTTTGAGCTGAAATCGCGGGCGGAGTCATGAAATTAGGAGGTCGCGGTCTTTGACGATGCTTATTTCGTAAAGGTCCTTTTAATACAATTTGGGGCCGATTTAAGTTGTAATTAATTGTTTGGTGGACCCAAGTGGTGTTGGGTTTTCTTTGATCAAGCTGTTTTAATAAATTAATCGCCTCTGGGGTTTTATATGATTGAACATTTTGTTTATAAACATTAATACTTGGTTCTTTATCATTCAAATTATTTTTTTTATCCAAATCATCTTGATTAACATAATTTAATGATTGTTTGTGTTGATTCTTCATTCCTGAGTCATCTTGATTTTTATTTGAATTTTGTTGATTCAAATGGAACACATTTTTATTGTTAAACAATTGACTTTGAGGTTGGTATTGATGGATTTGATTATTTTTTTTTATTTCAACTTGATTATTATTTAAAATTTTATGCTGATTACTTATTAATTTATGTTCTTGATAATAAAAAACTTTCTGGGGGTCCCTAAATTGATGATTTTGACTCAATTTTTGTTCGTGCTTAATGATATAACCATCAAACTCATTATCTTTTTGTATCGATCCAAAAGAAATGGGAGGCGCGTTTATCTGGATGTTCTTATTATTCGAATTGCTATCGAAATAAATGTTATTAACGACCTCCCCGGTTTTAGACGGCTTAATTTCTTTATTTTTATTATTATAAACCGGATTTGGGTCGACCTTAATCACCCCGCTAACTTGTTTTTGATTATTCCCCAATTTAACGTTTTTATAGTTGTATTTAAAATTATGTTCCGAGTTTATTTTAGGCACACCATTAGATAATTCCACGTATGGAGATGGATCATCGAAGTATTGGCCGCTTTTATGTGGCTCAATCGAACCCCCATAAATCAACGCGGTCGTTCTATTATGAGGGATATTAACCAACGCCGTTTGAGAGGGCTGAATATTCACCAATAGGGGTTGCCCCGTCGATCTTTCAATAACCTCTGGTAGCCCCAAAATTTTTTGATTCATAATCATCGAATTTGATTTAAACTCAATTTTTGATGGGTGCAAATTGTAAATGATCGTTGAGGGTAATGATTCATTCGGAATTAAATCTTGATTCAAAATAGGAGGTGGAGGTCCAAAATAATCATCTTGCGGGGGAGGGGGCCCAACGTAATCGTTTTGATTTGGAACGTGGATTATTGGGTGAACGGGATTAATGGGAATTTTTAAATTTAAAGGTGGAGGGTTCATTCCCAAAGGAATTTGGTTATTTTGAATTGGAATTCTTGGCCCAACCAATCCTGGTTTGCCGACGATCACGTCTGAATTCGTCGTTATAATTTCGCCGGGAGAAATGGGGATTCCCCCGTTAATTAACGGCGATTCGTTCGTGAATTTTTGATGATGCGGTTTTTCCCACTCCTTAATTTTAAAATTTGCTATATTTTGACTCTCGGCTACTTCAATGTCGGTGAAACCCCCCACTGGGATATAAATAGGGGGTCTTGCTTGGATTAATTCCTCCTCTTTCTTTTTTACGTTCTTAATATTGTCGATTGAATCGTTTCGTTTGGTTGCTTTTAAATTATTTTGAATCAAATCGGCCATTACGTTTAAAACGGGGGTTAATTGCTTGATATTAATTGATCCTAATCCTAAAACATCTTCGTTTAGGGTTGGTTTTTTGATTTTCGTGGAACCATATCCCGGTTGGGTAGTTTCTTTAATGGTGTGCCTTTTCAAGTTTTTTGACGGAACAATTTCCGAACTTAATTTTTTCACCACGCTCGACGGAACCAAAACTGGAGTTGGTTCGCTCGCCGCCAATTTAAAAGGATCATCATCCTCATCAACGAAAACAATCGTCGATCCAGTTATAACACTCGGAATTGACGGCTTAATTTCTTCGAAACTCGTCATTGTAGTTTTTAAAATCTCTAAAGTTGACGTCGGTTTAATAGGAACGATTGTAACTTCAATCTTCTCTCCATTAATTGTAGCTATTTTAGTCAATTTCTCACTCTCAATCTCCTTCTTGATCGAATTTAAATACTTTTTATCCAACAACTCTAAATCGATACTTTCTGTAACGACGTTTTCAACAACCCTCGATCTCGAAGTGATTATTTTCTCTCGATTTTCATCCAATAAAGTCGTCGTCGTCGTAAAAGTGGTTAAATAAGTCTTCGTTGCGATAATTTCAAAATCGGTCTCAAATTTTTGTTTCTTTTTAACGTCTTTAGTCATCATCGTTCTTTTTGGGTGCAAAAACAATTTTTCCGTAACAACATCCGTTGAGGTTGAAATGTTGGTTTGAACGTGCGAATTTCCGTTTTGCATCACCGTGTTAAAATAGGTGTACGTTATAAAATAAGTTTTAACGACATCGGTCGTAACGATGTCTTCGTTTTTCGTGGGATCGTCCAAAGCTAAATAAGACGTCATTACGGATGTCGTTGCTTTCGGCGGGATCGATTCGGTTATAACAATTTGAGTTCGAGTCTCGCGATCTCGAATCGTTGAGAAATAAGTGTTTGTTTCTTTAATCGGCGAAACGAAATCTTGAGGTTGGAGCAATGATAAATAATCATCGGGAGCTGTCACTGTATTAGTTACTGTGTGCTTTGATTCGATTATAACCGGGTGATTATCTTCGATTATCGTGTTTAAATATGTGTAAGTCGTGGGGAAGATTCCCACAGATAAATTTGGATGCTAAAAAAATTGTTTTAATTTTTCCTAAAGAATAAATTGTTGTATTTACCTGTGTTAAAGTAATTCCCACTGTTGATGTAGGTGTAGGTAGAATTTTTCCAGCGCTGTTTCTTTCTTCGGTTGCAATATTTGAAACAACCTGTTGATGACTAGAAACGATCGTGGAACCATCTTCAACGTACGTTGTTAAATAGGTGAATGTTGTTAAACATGTTTTTGTTACGAATTGATTCGGGTAGGTTGTTGTTGGCGCCTCAATCTATAAATAAAAAGAAATTAAATAATACATTTTACAAATTTTTTTGTCAAGATTTAGGTTGGTATTGCGTATGGTCTTAACAATTTTTTATATTTCTAATAACATTTTTAGTCATTAGTTAATTGAGGTTAAGATTTTATATCAATTATTACAGAAATAATAACAAAAAATTGTGTTTTCTTTTTAAATATGCAATTCGTACTAAAAATTGAACGCATGTGGCGCCATCTGTTGGGGATATTTTGGAATTATTCAGCTAAGAACCGAACCACTAGAAAACAGGTTGGATTGGATTTATATATAAAAGCTCCAACCTCAGAATAACTGTTTGGAGCCACTATATTAACGTTCTGACGATGTTCCAACCAGTTATAACGTTAGTTGAAAAATAGTTAGTTGTCTCTCACCGAAAAATCACATTAAAATGACGTTTTCATCTGTCACTTTTAAAAGTTGAAGTTAGTGGGAAATTTAAAAATATAACCCGAATTGGAATCTATACTTTTTAAATTAAAAGAATGATATTGGTAATAATTGTTATTGTTGTCTCTCATCATTCCCACTATTAATAATAAAATTGTTAGTTTAATTAAATTATTTCAGTATAGACGCTAATGCCATCTTACGGTGGGATTTCGAACTAAGTTCTCCTAGCAAAGATCTCTAGGGTTGGGTATCTCAATATTTTTCCAATCTAACCCAATAATTATTATACATCATTTTAAAAAGAAAGCTTTAAGCTTTAATTTAAAATAAGTTTCATTCATTAATTTCAATAAACACGGCTTCCAGGAATTTTTAAATTAGCATCTTTTTTGACACTTTTAGGTTATACGAAAATGTAAGTTTTAATTCAACATTTTTTTTTCTCAATATTTTTCGAATCCAACCCAATTATTATTGTACATCATTTTAAAGGGAAAGCTTTGAGCTTTAATTTAGAACAAGTCTCATTCCTTAATTTCAGTAAATACGGCTTCCAGGAATTTTTAAATTAGCATCTTTTTTGACACTTTTAGGTTATACGAAAATGTAAGTTTTATTTCAACATTTTTTTTCTCAATATTTTTCCAATCCAACCCAATAATTATTATACATCATTTTAAAGAGAAAACATTGAGCTTTAATTTAAAATAAGTTTCATTCCTTAATTTCAATAAATACGGCTTCCAGGAATTTTTAAATTAGCATCTTTTTTGACACTTTTAGGTTATACGAAAATGTAAGTTTTATTTCAACATTTTTTTTTTCAATATTTTTCCAATCCAACCCAATTATTATTATACATCATTTTAAAGAGAAAACATTGAGCTTTAGTTTAAAATTAATAAAATTAAAAAAAATCGTCGATTTTTAAGCCACATGATGATTTTTGAATTTTGTTTGACATTTGTACGAAATTTGAATCAAATATAAAACCTAAAAAGTTTTAAATTTAAATGATTTATATAAACAATATTAATACATTTAAAGATATTTACAAATTTTTTAAAAAAATTATTTGGTGTTTCTTTATCTATTATGCCTGTCAAGATTTAGGTTGGTATTGCCTAGGGTCTTAATAATTTTTTAAATTTCTATTAACATTTTTAGTCATTAGTTAATTGAGGTTAAGATTCTATATCAATTATTACAGAAATAATTAAATATAAAACCAACAATTGGATTTTCTTTTTAAATAACGGAAGTTTAAACGTCAATAATTTTAATTTCCCTGTTTTTGTTACCAACTGTCATCAACCTCACAATTTGACAGATATGACAGAAAGAAATTAAATTGTATCCCCCCGAAATAATAGAAAACCACGAATATCACATAAAAGAGTAAAAGTAAAAGATATAACCGAACAGTAAACGACATATTAAAATATAAATATAAAATTATGCATTTGGAATAACACTAATAAAAGGTGGTATTTTTAATCTTCAACGTTATTTTTAAGTCGATTACGTTTCTTATATCGTAACATTTTAATTTCTTCTTTTAAGAATAAACGATAAACACAACATAACGTCAACACAAGCTTTGGAATGAAATTACTCGATTAAGCATGTAGCGCCATCTATTGTGCAAGTGAAATAAATAATTAAACGTTTTGTTATAATTAAGTTTTGATCCCAAAAAGATGAAAATATAGCTCAAAATTGAATTTAATAGTTGATGCTTTTTAATAATTAATATTATTAATTAATTTTAAATCGAAGCAAAATAAAAAAATATATTACCAACATGAATTGTTAAAATAATCTAGTGATTTTATTTAAAATTTGACATGACGCGAGTTTTTTCTTTTTAGGTTATGTTGATAAGATTAACAATTAATTATTTTATTATTTCAACTTAATCTTTTTACTTAACCTTATAGAAATGTCTTCATTATTCAATATAAAGACCAAAGAAATATCGGAATAAGCAGCCGGTGTGAGAATAAACCTCCTTTAATCTGTCCTGAACTTTCGTTATTTATTTATAACTTTATCAGATAGCTACAAGTAAAGTACTTAGACGAAATTCAAAGCGCAAAATGCGTTACTTACAATTTAGAGGTTATGTTGTAATGTGAAATTGTGAAACATACAGTTAACCACAAGATCTAGAATCAAAAACACTTTGGCGATGGATAAAGCCGACGTTGACCTCTCAATCTGAAGTCACCCGTTCAATTACAAGTGTAAGATAATTAAAACACTAACAATTCTACATCATAAACTAATTTACGTCTAAATAGATGCATGCAAAGGCTGGGGACGCCACAACATGGCCGCCAACAGAGCTGCCAACCGACCTCCGGATCTTTGATATTATTTTAAATTAAAGCTCAAAGCTTTCGTTTGAAAATGATCTGTAATATTCATACTTAATAATATTATTAGACTTTATTATTATTATTTATTAAAGAGATACCCAGCCCCAGGGATCTTTGATAGGAGAAGTTGAGACTCTAAATACCACCGTAAGATGGCATTAGCGTCTATACTAAAATAATTTAATTAAACTAACAATTTTATTATTAATAGTGGGAATGATGAGAGACGGCAATAACAATTATTACCAGTATCATTCTTTTAATTTAAAGAGTATAGATTTAAATTCGTGTTATATTTTTAAATTTGCTGCTAACTTCAAATTTTAAAATTATAAAGTTGAAGTTTGTTCAGAATGACAGATGAAAACGTCATTTTAAAGTGATTTTTCGCTAAGAGTATAATAAAGTAATAATGGTATGATTAAATAATTAGATTATAATTGACATTATCGTTTTGTTTCAGCTAACGTTATAAGTTGTTGGAAGCTCGTCAGATGCAATCTCAGATGTCATATGATGCAGTGTGATATTCAAATGTGGTGACATTATTTGACAGGTAGGTGTAAATGCCATAGGTAGGAATTCCCAACTAATTGGAACGTTAATTGGAGTCCCATAATGGCTCCAAACAGTTATTCTGTGGTTGGAGCTTTTATATATAAACCTAATCCAACCTGTATTTTAGTGGTTCGGTTCTTAGCTGAATAATTCCGAAATATCCCTAACAGATGGCGCCACATGCGCCATTCAATTTTTAGTTATCAGATATCAAATGAAAAGTGTAAACAAACCTAAAGAGGGGGTGGAAACGGCCAGAACACTCCTAATTATTATCCAATATATTATCATTATTAATTAAAACCTACATTAATAAACAATATGAGGGGTAACAAAATTACTTACCTCTGATGGTTGTAGCATCATCATATGTTCGGTTAAAGTACTGGCTTTGAAAGTGACCGGCTTATAAATTGACGATGGTAAAATTCTGCTTACATCCGGTTCACCAGGAAGTGTACTTTTATCGCCGGCAACGATCACCTCAACCCCATTCGACATGACTCGAGTGGCTAGATTGTATCTCGCTTCATCTAAAGCTCTAACTTCTAAATAAAAACGATCAAAAACAAAGATATTAATAAATAAATTAAGAATCGAGACGTTTTTGTATCATTTCCAATTAGAAAATCATTAAAAAAATTAAAATAAAAATGAAAACCTTGTATATACAAGAAAAATTAAATTTTTTACAACTTTAATTTACAAAATTTCTTTTTGGGAAGGATTATTTTTCAGTAACTCACCTTCTTCAACAATTGTAGAAGTGGTACTAATTTTGGTAGTGGTGATATTTTCAAGAAGAAGGGTGGTTGTGTCAGTGTTAGGTAGTGAATTGTCCAAGTCTAATAAAGTCAACGTCGTGTATCTAAGTACGGGTTCGGTTACGATAACAGTTTTCGTTTGCGGGAACACTTCATGCGAAGAACTCACAATTTGCTCGTCACCATTCACTCGAGTCACCACCAAAGTGTACGTTTTATTTTTCATTTCAATCGAGGTTTTCGTCTCGTATTCGGTTGCAGTTAAAGTCGTCGTTTTTAATAATAAATTAGAATCGAACGATTCCGATAATTCAGGAAAAAGAGGATCGAAAATCGGTGATTCAACTATTTTTTCGTAAATATTATCTTCATAATAACCATCTTCGTTGAATATATTTAAACGAGTTGGGTCATCTTGATTTTGATAATCATCATTTTCTTCTTCATCGTAATCATCTTCGTTATCATCATTTATATCATCATCTTCTTCATCGTTATTTGCATCAAAATTCGAATTTAAATAATCTTCATCAAATTCATTTGAGTCATCATCAAATTCCTCTTTAGATGCTTCTTGGATTAAATTAAAATCTTCTTCTTGTGGTAACATTTTCGTTTCTATTTCTTCCGTTGTTGATGATATAAAAGATGTTGTAGGTTTTGGTAATAACCTTTTCCTTGTAATAATAACTTTCCTCCTCTTCTTAATAACAACGTCGTTATTAATCGGGCGCTTTCTTTTCTTAATTTTAATCACCTTTCTTCTTCTTTTCGGACGATTCGTGTTCCTCGGACGAATCCCAACCAATTTTTTGACGACTCTTCGTTTTTTTAATCCATCTTCGTTATTGCTTATATTAAAATTATTATTATTTACATCGCGATTTAATCTAACATTAACATTTAATTCATTATGATTACTTTGTCGGGTACCCCCAGGTGTGTAGTGACCTCTTCTTGGAGGGGCTTCGTCAAAGTAGAGGTCTAAACGGCTAAAAAAGACTCGTTTTGTTGTGTGGTTTGATATTTTTTACTTTTCGTGACGTGTTTGTTCACGTCCCCTAAAATGCTTTCTAACGTTTGGGTGGGTTTTGAGTTAATTTCGGTTTGATGTAGATTTTCTTCTGGGGTTGTTGCTATAATTAAATCGTTGTATTCTAATAAGTGCGTTTTTGGTGGATTAAAATTAACCCCCGTCGGTTTTAATTCCCGCTTTTTCCTGCTATTTTCTTCCCCTACAACATACGTCGATAAAACGGTGGTGAATTCCCCAGGTTGTCGCCCCGAAACGTACAAAGTCACCACGCTCGTTTCTTTTTCCGGGGGGGTTGGGGTCGTAACCTTTTCTTTTTTCGATTTTCTTTTGCGGGTTTTATGCGTTACCATTTCCACCCCGTTATTTTCATTAATCGCATCATTTTGATTCTCCTCGACATCATTTACAACATTACTACTTAAAACTCCTTGTTGTTGAACTTGTTGGATTTGATCCAAATTAAAAACCCCCGCCGGATTCTGCAAAATAGGAATTTGTTGATTTTGTTGTTGTTGCAATAAAAGTGGCACCAACAAGCTATTTAATTGATTAGGCGCTTGAAAATTAGGAATCGTTGGGGTTACAACGACCGTGTCGGTTAAAAATTCGGTCGCTGTAATCACCTCGGTCTTGGTATCGACGATTGTTGTTAAAATCTCTTTTCCTCGGAATGTTAAAGGAATAACGGTCGATGTGGCTTTAGTTACGGTTGTTATGTAAGTTGTGGTTCGAGTTTTAAACTCGGTTGTTGGCGTTTGGGGGATTCCTGGTTGCTGCGGTTGTTGGAATGCGCCTAATAGCGGGTTTTGTTGGGGGAATCCCACGTTTCCCAATAATAATTGCGACAATAAGATGTTGGCTAAAGGTGCTTGGGCCGCTAACGCCGGTTGGATCGTGTTTGTAACCTCCTCGACCCCATAAATCGTACTAGGCACAATATGCGAATACGAAGTCTTTCTTCCCCGGATATAAGTCGGGGTGAAAATAACGCTGGTTGTTGGAGTCTCGTTTAAAACGAATTGCGTAACTTGGGTTGCCCCGTTGTTATTGATCGCGCTATTTTCTGATAACAAAACGGTTACATCTTTCCCAAAATTGTTAATGCTCGTTGTGTATTCTTCAGGGCCGAGGACTTGGGTGCTAAATTTTGCGGTAACTATGTTTTTGTATTCGGTTATTTTCCCATTAACGATGGGGATTGAGACTTCCGTTGGAATTTGGTGAGTTACCGTGATTGTTCCATCAAAACTCGGAATTACAAAGTTATTATCGATTTGTTCTTGATTAATATAAGTGGGGCGGCGAGATTTATTCCTATTATTATTATTATTATTACTATTACCACCACCATTATCAACAACCCTCCTACTACTACTATTATTATTATTAACACTACCAGATTTGCGAACATCTTGATTCGAACTCGTTCTTAATTTAGTCCTCGAATTCGGGGTTGGTTTCCTAATCGTCGTTGTTGGGCGCTTAAAATTAGAATTTCTATTATTATTATTATCTCTAATTGTAAATTGAGTTCTTCCTTGATTCGAAGCTTTCGTTGGATTAATCCTTTTTGTATTATTATCTTTCCTCCTTTGAGAAAATCGATTTTTTCGATTATTAATCGATTTCGTCGTCGTCTCGGTTACTTCTTCTTTAGGGGTGGTCGTTCTTGATAGCGGCCTCCGAAACCTCGAATGTTGAACTTGCCTCTTTAATCTCCTCCTCACAAACGGTTTGATTAAAACTTTTTGTTTCAAATTTTTATCAATCCTCGCATTCGACCTTCCAATTCGCGTATTTTGCAGCGACTCGGCGGGTAATTCGATATCATCTTGGTAATCCTCCTCATTTTCGCCCACCATATCCTCCTCATCGTCGATATATTCATCTTCTTCTTCCGGGGGAGGGGTCGTCGTGGTTGTGAATAGATTTCGCCTCGGGAATAATGCATTAACGGGTCTTGGACGATTTTGAAGTGGGCGAGTTGTTGATTTTGGGGTTGTTTTAACGTTTTTATTACCTTTATTTAATTTAATTGGTGATTTTTGCGTGGTTAAAGTTAATCCGCGTTGTGGATTTTGATTAGGGCGTCTAAATCGGTTCAAAAGTGGGTTTCTTCTGCTACTTTCTGTAGTTGTTGATGAATCCTCGAAATCATCCGTAAATCCCGTCGGGTTATCAGTTACATCTGTTGTGATGTCGTTTTCTTCGTCTGAAGGAGTCACCGAGTTGAATCGGTTAAAATTAATCGCCGTGGGGCGAATTCTCGCCCTGCTCAAATTAAAAAGCGAAGATGGTCGGATTGATGATGATCTAAAGCTCCCCCCTCTTCGCGAACTTAATAAATTTGATGATAACGATGTGGGTTGGACCCTCGAGGAGCTTCGTCTAAATCCTGAGGATGATGTGGATTTGGGGCGGGTGAATCGTCTCGATCCCGAAGCTGTTGGGAGGATTAACGAATTCGACGAGCTTTTTCGCCCCCCAAATCGCTGCTTTGACGCGGGGACCACGGTTACCGTTGGGGTTGTTATGTCGCTTCTTGTAATCGTTGTGGCACCTTTTCGTTTTGAATTTGGGGCGAATCCCGGCCGGGATGATCTCGAACTAAACGGCCTGATCGCTGGGGTGTAATTATTTTTTCTAATCGGGAACTTTTTCGTCTCCTTTAAATCTTCATCGTCCCCCTCGGTGGTTGTTTCAACATCTTCATCATTTTTCGTAGTCTCAGAACCCTCCAACATTACAGGAGAAGGGGTTAAAACGATTTTCGTTGATTCTTGCGCGCTTAAAATTGACGTCGGGGTCGGGTTAATTAAAAAGCTCGATGTGCTTTCGATTACTTGGGCGTAACTCCCGTTTATTATGGTTCCTAAAACGTTGGAGTGATACAACGTGGTGGTTTCGTTTTGAACAATCGCGCCCTCTATGAAGCGGACTAACCCGGTTCTTCTCGCCGGTAAATCGGTCGGTAATAAAGATTTCTTTTCTTCGTCCACTTTTAAAAAGCTTGTACTGTCGATTATTTGGGCATAACTATCATCGATGTAAGTGCCCAAAGCTTGGGTTGTATAAAATAAAGTACTCACTCCATCAGCGTCGACAATCATCCCTTTATTTATACTTAAAATTCCCGTTGGTTTCAAATTCGTTGGATTTAAAGATACATTTAGAACGGAAGATGTGGTTTCTTCGACTTGAATGTACTTCCCATTAATTGAAGTCCCATAAACATCGGTGGAATAAATCGTGGAAACTCCAGAATTCTCCTCAACGCGAGTTAACGTCGATAACAACCCAATTTTGTTTTTGTTATCTTCATTAATTTGATTTTGTGTCGCCTCCAAATTAATCGCCCTTCCTTGTTTTAATTCGGGCGTTTTTGTAATGATTTTGGATTGAGTGACCAAGCTGCTTAAAACCGTCGATTTATCATCGATATAAGAAGTGGTGAAATAAGTAAATGTGGAATAAATCGTTTCTAAAATCGGAGTTGGGGAAATGATTGAATCTGTTGGGGTTGATGTGAAAGAAATCGTCGGGGAATCGATGTTAGTGATTGTTTTTTCGCTGCTATTAATAATCGTTGTGTTCTTTTTAACGCTCGTCGTCCAATACGTGAAAGTGGTGAAATAAGTTATGGGTTGGTCCGAATCTTCCGGTTTTAAAGTTTGGGGGGAATTCAAAGTTTCCGTAACGATATTAGTAATCGTTTTTAAGCTGCTATTTACATCGCTTGAAGTGGTCCCATGATAAGTCGTTGTAAAATAAGTAAAAGTCGTGTAACTAGTTTGCAATAAAAGAGTGGGCGAAGGGACAACTTCCGATTCATTATTCGACTCTGAAAAAACTTGATCTTCAAGCACATTCCTTTTATCTAAGTTCTCCAAAACTTTTTGCTCCCCCTTCGAGGTCGTGCTCTTAACATTCGTAACCATATTCGTAATTATCTCATAATCGGATAAATTAAGATCCGAATTCGATTCTTCCGATCCTTCCAAAACGGGTAAATTTCGATTCAACGTAACATAAGATTTATCTTGAGTCGCACTTGGTAAAATCACATTCTCTTCGTCGTTTTCGACAGGCAAATTAGTTCTAACTCGACTCATCGTTGTGTTGTATTTATCGTAATCGTTTTTGTTTAATAATCCCTCTAAAATATCGGTTGGGCTTATTTTGGGGCTCCCATAATCGGTATAAACTGAAGATCGAACTTCGGTTCGGCTCAAAACGCGCGAATCATCCTCCCCGTCGAAAATAGTCGAGAAATATGTGTAAGTTGTGAAGTATGTTTTAATTTTAAACGGGGTTAATGATAAAGTTGGGGTTGCAATGATTTCTTCTTCATCATCGTCTTCATCGTCTTCGTTGTTTTCTTCTTTTAAGTCGAAATCGTCGAAATTAACTTTGTGGGTTTCTAAATTTTCGTTAATTTGAGATGGTTGTATCTCTTTCCCGGGGAATAAAGTTGATGTTATCATGTTAGTTTGGATCGTTTTTGATGTTGAGACGGTTGAGGTGTTCCCCAAATAATACGTGGTTAAATAATTGAAAGTTGTATACAAAGTCTTCACTAACAACTCAATTTCTTCGCCGCTTTCTGTTGTTGCATCTTCGTTGTTCGTCATTTCCGTTGTTTCTTCGAACATTTCGGTTGTTATTTCTGTTTCTTTTACATTTTCAGTCGTAACTTCGATTTCTTCGGTTGTTATTTCTTTTTGAGTGGTGATTTCAATTTCTGTTGGTTGAGGAGTTGTCAAAACGTTGGTTGGGTCGATTAATTCGTCGCATAAAACGGTTTGGAACCCAATTTCCGTTGAGATACTTATTCCGGGTTGAATTGAAGTTGAAGTTGATTCCCCCTCTTTGATGTAAAACGTTGTTAAGACATTATAATGATGGTACGAAGTCGTAGGAAGGATTTTTAAACCATCCAAACATTTATCTTCAACGCTTCCTTGAGTTGTAACTTCCTCTGTTGTTGTTAATTCATTTTCTTCTGTTATATTTTCAACCTCGGTTGTTGTTTCAATCATTTCAGTTGTTACTTCTTCAGTTTGACTCAAAATCGTTGTAGTTTCCTTCTCATCTTCGACTTTTTCTTTTAACTTATCATCAAAAGCTTCGTCTAAACTTGTAGGGAACACATCGTCAAAGAAAATCGTTTTAGCCCCGCTTAAAACTTTAGTTTCCTCCGTGTTTATATTTTTAAATGGATCACTCAATATAAAACTACTCTTCGTATTTAACGGCTCAGTTGGTTTCGAAGATTCTGATTTCTGATTTAGCGAAGCTAAAATTCGTTCAATATCTTCCTGGGAAGGAATCTTTAAGTTTGATTGAGTCACCTCAATCGGTTTCGCGTTTAAAGAAGCAACAAGCTTCGAGATATCATCATGCGTCGGCTTGGACAACTTCGTAATTTGAGTCTCAGAAGGCTGGATAACATCAGAATTGTACAAAACAACATTTTCCCCCTGCGTCGTTATCTCCATCTCAATCTCATCCAAATTTTTCTCAGTCCCACCTTGTTCTTTAGCCAAAATCGATACCTTAGCATCTAAATCAATCTCATCAGATTGCTTTAATGGCCTATCTGAACTATCTAAAATCGTAAATTCGTCATCTTCATCATCATCTTCTTCAACATTAGGGGTTGTAACTTCAAAATCAATCGATGGGGTGTAAACTTTCTCATAAATCGTGGATGCTTTGACACTTTCTTGAATGGATTGCGTCGTTGTTGGCAACAAAGTAGCTTCACCTTTAATTTTGGTAACATGTCCCGTTTGCTGCTTAACCTCCAAAGTTGATGGGGAAAAAATAATAACCGTGTCGCCAACTGTCGTGGTGAAATCGGCAAATCCCGTGTAAGTAACCGTTTTTAATTCTATCTTTTCAACCTCTTTAGGTCGAAATAATAATTTGGCTTTGCGTTCTCTTGATGTTGTTGATTTGCTCTTTTCGGTGTTAACCTCGAAATCGGGGAAATCCCCTGTTAGGTAAGAAAATCCCGATGGGGAGAATTCGTTTCTTACTGTGAATGTGGGTAAATTGTCCCATTCTTTAATTTTTGATGGGTGGATATCGTCTTTAACGATTGCGTTTTCGTTAACTTCTAAATTTAGTTTAGATTTTTTTTGTTTGCTTGTTAAAGCGATGTATTTGGCGTCGGCGTTATAAGGGATTCTTAAATTGTTCGTTGGCGATTCGTTTAATTCTTCTTCTTTCCCTTTTTTGATTTCTTCGCGGGAAATAACCGTGGGGAAAACAACGAATGGTTCGATTTGGTTCGGCGAAACGTAATCGGTGTTTTTGACGAAGTTTCTTTCGCCGTTTTCCGGTTTGGTTTCGATCTTCCATTTCTTTGGGTTCTCGTACACTTTGATAGAGGACGATGGTGAGTCTTCGTATAGAACTCGTGAACTTTTCGTGAGCAAGTGGGCGTAAAGTCGTCCGTTGTCTAGGGTGGTTCCGAGGACTTGGGTGGCGTATTGGGTTGTAACGCCCTCTTGGATGAAGGTTCTGGCTGTAGAGGTCAATAGGCCAAGGTCCGGTTTTACGTTGAGGAAACGACCGAATGAATTCCGGCCGTGGTTGTCCACCAAAAGAACCGTGGTAACATCTATTCAAAGATTTTTTAAAAAAGAGAAAGAAAAGAATAGAATTTATTTACATTAAAAAAAATTATAAAAAAATAAGAAATATTTTAGAGGAAATTTATATAAATAAATTTATTGTTGGTGTGATGTGGCCAAATCAATTACATAAAAGGATGTCAACCTTAATTTTCTTATATTCTTAATCATTATCAAAAATCCTTCAAAATGAGCCCAAACTCGACTACTTTATCTCAAAAAATAACAAAGATACAACAAAAAGTTGATAAATTTAAAGTTAACGAAGTGAAGTTGGCAACGAAACATGTTTGGACTCATTTTAAATAATTTTTCGTAAAGATTATAAATATAACAAAATTAAAGTTGATATTCGATTATTTTTAAAGTTGAATGTTTTTTTTGTAATATTCATAAAACATTATTCATTAAAATAAATACAAATATAACATGATTAATTTAAAAATAACCTTTAATGGTCGACTTCTGGTTATAAATATCAACTTTAATTTTATTAAATTCGTAATGTCGACGAAAAATCCTTTAAAATAAGTCCAAACTCGACTATTTTATCTCAAAAAATAACAAAGTTATCACAAAAACTTGATAAATTTAAAGTCAATAGAGTGAAGTTGGCAACGAAATGTCAAAAATAATCATTTTTGAGATAACCTCATCGTGTTTGGACTCATTTTAAATGATTTTTTATAAAGATTATGAATATCACAAAATTAAGGTTGACATNAATTTAATAAAATTAAAGTTGATATTTATAACCGGAAGTCGACCATTAAAGGTTATTTTTAAGTTAATCATGCTATATTTGTATTTATTTTAATGAATATTTGATGAATATTACAAAAAAAAACATTCAACTTTAAAAATAATCGAAACACGGGGTTATTTCCGGTTTGAAATATCAACTTTAATTTTGTTATATTCATAATCTTTACGAAAAATCGTTTAAAATGAGTCCAAACACGATGGGGTTATATTAAAAATGAACATTTTTAACATTTCGTTGCCACCTTCACTTTGTTGACTTTAAATTTATCAACTTTTTATGATAACTTTGTTATTTTTTGAGATAAAATAGTCGAGTTTGGACTCATTTTAAAGGATTTTTCGTAAAGATTAAGAATTTAATAAAATAAAAGTTGATATTTATAACCGGAAGTCGACCATTAAAGGTTATTTTTAAGTTAATCATGTTATATTTGTATTTATTTTAATGAATGTTTGATGAATATTACAAAAAAAACCGTTCAACNTTAATTTTATTAAATTCGTAATGTTGACGAAAAATACTTTAAAATAAGTCCAAACTCGACTATTTTATCTCAAAAAATAACAAAGATACAACAAAAAGTTGATGAATTTAAAGTTAACAAAGTGAAGTTGGCAATGAAATGTCAAAAATAATCTATTTTGAGATAATCCCATCGTGTTTGGACTCATTTTAAAGAATTTTTCGTAAAGATTATGAATATCACAAAATTAAGGTTGACATTTAAAACCGGAAGTACCCCGTATTTCGATTATTTCTAAAGATGAATGTTTTTTTTTGTAATATTTATCAAACATTCGTTAAAATAAATACAAATATAGCATGATTAACTTAAAAATAACCTTTAATGATCGATTTCCGGTTATAAATGCCAACTTTAATTTTATTAAATTCTTAATGTTGACGAAAAATCCTTTAAAATGAGTCCAAACTCGACTATTTTATCTCAAAAAATAATAAAGATACAACAAAAAGTTTATGAATTTAAAGTTAACAAAGTGAAGCTGGCAACGAAATGTCAAAAATAATCATTTTTGAGATAATCCCATCGTGTTTGGACTCATTTTAAAGGATTTTTCGTAAAGATTATGAATATCACAAAATTAAGGTTGACATTTAAAACCGGAAGTGGCCCATATTTCGATTATTTTTAAAGTTGAATATTTTTTTTTGTAATATTCATCAAACATTCATTAAAATAAATACAAATATAGCATGATTAACTTAAAAATAACCTTTAATGGTCGACTTCCGGTTATAAATATCAACTTTAATTTTATTAAATTTTTAATGTTGACGAAAAATCCTTTAAAATAAGTCCAAACTCGACTATTTTATCTCAACAAATAAGTTATCACAAAAAGTTGATAAATTTAAAGTTAATAAAGTGAAGTTGGCAACGAAAAGTTAAAAATGTTCATTTTTGAGATAACCCCATCGTGTTTGGACTCATTTTAAATGCTTTTTTATAAAGATAATGAATATCACAAAATTAAGGTTGACATTTAAAACCGGAAGTACCCGGTATTTCGATTATTTTTAAAGTTGAATGTTTTTTTTTGTAATATTCATTAAACATTCATTAAAATAAATACAAATATAGCATGATTAATTTAAAAATAACCTTTAATGGTTATAAATATCAACTTTAATTTTATTAAATTCTTAATGTTGACGAAAAATCCTTTAAAATGAGTCCAAACTCGACTATTTTATCTCAACAAATAAGTTATCACAAAAAGTTGATAAATTTAAAGTTAACAAAGTGAAGTTGGCAACGAAATGTTAAAAATGTTCATTTTTGAGATAACCACATCGTGTTTGGACTTATTTTAAAGGATTTTTCGTAAAGATTATGAATATCACAAAATTAAGGTTGACATTTAAAACCGGAAGTACCCCGTATTTCGATTATTATTAAAGTTGAATGTTTTTTTTTGTAATATTCATTAAACATTCATTAAAATAAATACAAATATAACATGATTAATTTAAAAATAACCTTTAATGGTTATAAATATCAACTTTAATTTTATTAAATTCTTAATGTTGGCGAAAAATCCTTTAAAATGAGTCTAAACTCGACTATTTTATCTCAAAAAATAACAAAGTTATCATAAAAACTTGATAAGTTTAAAGTCAACAAAGTGAAGTTGGCAACGAAAAGTTAAAAATATTCATTTTTGAGATAACACCATCGTGTTTGGACTCATTTTAAAGGATTTTTCGTAAAGACTATTAATATCACAGAATTAAGGTTAACATTTAAAATCGGATTTAAATTATTTTTAAAATTTAATAAATGTAATAGTTTAAATGTATGAACCGCCTTTGATGTCAATGATATTCGAGGCTATTTAAGTTATCGAATAATATTAATGATATTTATGCAACCAAAACAGCAATAGCTGACATTTGGGTTGCATGTCAGAAAAAATTATTTATTTTGGGAAATATGATGAAAAATGTTGAGAAAGCTTAGAATTATGTTGAGATATTTCAGAAACGATTTTGTGAAATGGAATTCGAAGGAAAATTAAAACAATCAAGATAGAATGACTCCTAAAAATTTGATTGGGGTTAAAAAATAGAAACGTCGTTTAGATGTCAAAATTTAGCTTTTGAGGCTAACTTCACACCAACAATTTTTTTTTGCTATACATTATAATAAAAAAAACATTTTTAATTAAAAAAAATTAATATCTACATCACAACAGTTTAAAATAGAGATGTTAAAGCCTTATATAAGCGGTTAAAGATAAAAAAAATTTGTTTGCTTGTTATTCACGAACGGGATGCGCTTAGCAAAAACACCTTGACATTTTCAATTGAACTTAAGCCTTTTAAATCGCAGGTGGTTACTCACTGAGGAAGAAAATGCTTTTCTTCCACCTTGTATCATGAAAAGATTGAGTCAAGAGGAAGGTATTTAGCGGTACCACACCTTTACAATCTAAAATCACTAAAATCTAGGTTAGAAGCATTTTTATGATTCAAATTTACATAAATACATACAAGAAAAAAATTGAGAATATAAAAACTTACCTTCGGCGTTTTGTCTCCGTTGTCTCGGCGAAATGTAAATGTTTTCACCTAGAAAAAAAAAAGAAAAAGAATTAACACAAAATTAGGGTTAGGTAAACAATTTCTTTTCTTTTTTAATATTTTCTATTCGATTTTATTTTTGGTTATTTCAACCTAAATTCCACTTTCGTATTAAAAAAAAAAAGACGCGTTGGGACGTGAAAAAATTATGCTCGAAGTGAAAATAGCTCCGATCGGGTTTTTGAAAGTCCTCTTGAGTGAGAAAAGTCGGTTAAAAGTGAAAGATAGTCGTCCATCTACTCAAAAAAAAGGAATAAAATTGTTCCTCAGAGTGTAATAATAAAACAATATGAATTACATAAATCGATTGTTATCAGTGAAAAGAAAAAATAACCTTCTAAGACGTTTTAATTAATTTATTTTTCTCTTTTTATAAAGAAAAAGGACGTTGTTATTTCCGATTATTTCTCTTACATAATCGCGTATTAAGTATGTCGCTTTGTACAAACGCATATTTTTCAAATTCAACCCAATCCAAATCGACCTTACTCTACGCGGAATAGAAAGCATATCGAAACCAAGGTTGCAAGATAAAACGCATTGAAAAAGACGATAATGTACATATATTATTCTTTCAATTTAAATAAAACTTCAATATTTTATTAAGAGTGTTGTATTCGTGGAAGCGTCTATTTTTGTTCTAAGGGTAGTTGCATCTTCTGCGAACTCAAAAAACAAACAGAGACGCTTTTTTTTAACACGAATGTGTTATTTATCTGCCGGATTTTGAATATAAATGTAGTAATTAGTTGTCGAGATAGCTAAGTTGTCGAGGCAATAACATCAGTTCTTAAGGAACAAACAGAGAAGTTCTTTTCAACGCAAATGTGTTACTTAATTACCGAGGCAGCTATGCCGCCGAGGCAATAGTGCGAGCACAAAAGCAACAAATAGTGAATTCTCTTATTTTAAATACAAATGTAGCAATTAGTAGCGTGAGTACTCAAGGAACAAAGAGAGACGCTTTATTCAATACAAATGTGTTATGTCCGAGACAGCTATGCTGCCAAAACTAGAACTAACACTATACCTAGAACTAGAATCATTTGGATTTAGCCCCACGTCTCTAAAGACGGCTAAACCCAAATGATTCTAGTTCTAGGTATAGTGTTAGTTCTAGTTTTACACTTGCACTGTCACTAAAACTAACATTAGACCCAGAATTAGAAATATTCGGGTTTAGCCGTGCGTCTGAGGACGTACTGAGGGATGAATATTACAAAAAAAAGCTTCCGGTTTGAAATATCAACTTTGATTGTGTTGTATTCATAATCTTTACGAAAAATCCTTTAAAATGAGTCCAAACACGATATGGTTATCTCAAAAATGAACATTTTTAACATTTCGTTGCCAACTTCACTTTGTTGACTTTAAATTTATCAAGTTTTTGTGATAACTTTGTTATTTTTTGAGGTAAAATAGTCAAGTTTGGACTCATTTTAAAGGATTTTTCGTAAAGATTAAGAATTTAATAAAATTAAAGTTGATATTTATAACCGGAAGTCGACCATTAAAGGTTATTTTTAAGTTAATCATTCTATATTTGTATTTATTTTAATGAATATTACTAAAAAAACATTCAACTTTAAAAATAATCAAAATACGGAGTACTTCCGGTTTGAAATATTAACTTTAATTTTGTTATATTCTTAATCTTTACGAAAAATCCTTTAAAATGAGTCCAAACACGATGGGGTTATCTCAAAAATGAACATTTTTAACATTTCGTTGCCAACTTCACTTTGTTGACTTTAAATTTATCAAGTTTTTGTGATAACTTTGTTATTTTTTGAGGTAAAATAGTCAAGTTTGGACTCATTTTAAAGGATTTTTCGTAAAGATTAAGAATTTAATAAAATTAAAGTTGATATTTATAACCGGAAGTCGACCATTAAAGGTTATTTTTAAGTTAATCATTCTATATTTGTATTTATTTTAATGAATATTACTAAAAAAACATTCAACTTTAAAAATAATCAAAATACGGGGTACTTCCGGTTTGAAATATTAACTTTAATTTTGTTATATTCTTAATCTTTACGAAAAATCCTTTAAAATGAGTCCAAACACGATGGGGTTATCTCAAAAATGAACATTTTTAACATTTCGTTGCCAACTTCACTTTGTTGACTTTAAATTTATCAAGTTTTTGTGATAACTTTGTTATTTTTTGAGGTAAAATAGTCAAGTTTGGACTCATTTTAAAGGATTTTTCGTCAACATTAAGAATTTAATAAAATTAAAGTTGATATTTATAACCGGAAGTCGACCATTAAAGGTTATTTTTAAGTTAATCATTCTATATTTGTATTTATTTTAATGAATATTACTAAAAAAACATTCAACTTTAAAAATAATCAAAATACGGGGTACTTCCGGTTTGAAATATTAACTTTAATTTTGTTATATTCTTAATCTTTACGAAAAATCCTTTAAAATGAGTCCAAACACGATGGGGTTATCTCAAAAATGAACATTTTTAACATTTCGTTGCCAACTTCACTTTGTTGACTTTAAATTTATCAAGTTTTTGTGATAACTTTGTTATTTTTTGAGATAAAATAGTCGAGTTTGGACTCATTTTAAAGGATTTTTCGTCAACATTAAGAATTTAATAAAATTAAAGTTGATATTTATAACCGGAAGTCGACCATTAAAGGTTATTTTTAAGTTAATCATTCTATATTTGTATTTATTTTAATGAATATTACTAAAAAAACATTCAACTTTAAAAATAATCAAAATACGGAGTACTTCCGGTTTGAAATATTAACTTTAATTTTGTTATATTCTTAATCTTTACGAAAAATCCTTTAAAATGAGTCCAAACACGATGGGGTTATCTCAAAAATGAACATTTTTAACATTTCGTTGCCAACTTCACTTTGTTGACTTTAAATTTATCAAGTTTTTGTGATAACTTTGTTATTTTTTGAGATAAAATAGTCGAGTTTGGACTCATTTTAAAGGATTTTTCGTCAACATTAAGAATTTAATAAAATTAAAGTTGATATTTATAACCGGAAGTCGACCATTAAAGGTTATTTTTAAGTTAATCATTCTATATTTGTATTTATTTTAATGAATATTACTAAAAAAACATTCAACTTTAAAAATAATCAAAATACGGAGTACTTCCGGTTTGAAATATTAACTTTAATTTTGTTATATTCTTAATCTTTACGAAAAATCCTTTAAAATGAGTCCAAACACGATGGGGTTATCTCAAAAATGAACATTTTTAACATTTCGTTGCCAACTTCACTTTGTTGACTTTAAATTTATCAAGTTTTTGTGATAACTTTGTTATTTTTTGAGATAAAATAGTCGAGTTTGGACTCATTTTAAAGGATTTTTCGTCAACATTAAGAATTTAATAAAATTAAAGTTGATATTTATAACCGGAAGTCGACCATTAAAGGTTATTTTTAAGTTAATCATTCTATATTTGTATTTATTTTAATGAATATTACTAAAAAAACATTCAACTTTAAAAATAATCGAAATACGGGGTACTTCCGGTTTGAAATATCAACTTTAATTTTGTTATATTCATAATCTTTACGAAAAATCCTTTAAAATGAGTCCAAACACGATGGGGTTATCTCAAAAATGAACATTTTTAACATTTCGTTGCCAACTTCACTTTGTTGACTTTAAATTTATCAAGTTTTTGTGATAACTTTGTTATTTTTTGAGATAAAATAGTCGAGTTTGGGCTCATTTTAAAGGATTTTTCGTCAACATTAAAAATTTAATGAAATTAAAGTTGATATTTATAACCGGAAGTCGACCATTAAAGGTTATCTTTAAGTTAATCATGCTATATTTTTATTTATGATTCTATTTTTTGGTCTAGCGCTGCATAACAACTAAAGCTAGAACTAACACTAGACCAAGAACTAGAATAATGTATTTATATTGAAAATAACAGCCTTCATAACTGCCTCTGCAATTAAATAATATATTTGTGTTGAAGAGAGAAATTTTCTTTATTGTTTGAGTACTCACGCTACTGCCTCTGCAGCATAGCTGCTTCAGCAACTAATCAATCAAGTCAAAATCTTCAAAATTACTTAATGGCAATTTATAGAAAAGAATGAAAAAGAATTTTCTAACTGTAATTTCGTTTGTATTCCTTATTCGAACCGGAATATTATTTAATTTTGAAATTAGGATGTGTGATAATGGCGTTACGGGAAATGTTAATGAAGGCGATGGGTAATTTGTATGCATCGCGAGTAACGCCGATGATAATTGATATCTTAACGGTTCGGTTTTAAAACTCGGCTACCACTAGTTACGTTGCCGTACGTTTTCATTTCGTTACTATTATTATTATGCCCGGTGGGTTTACGACGACGACGGCACAAGTCACCAGTTATCTCGGTCAATTATTTTTACAGTTTTCCCGGTAAATTACCGTCTTTAACACCAACAACCAACTTCTCTTTACGTTAACCAGCTACAATAACGTTCGTGGTAATTTAAATTTTAAAAATCTTTTTGAAATTTATCCCCCAAAACGACCTTTACCTCAATAAAAAACCAAAGAATCACCGTTCTAAATCGATTTGAAACGAGACGAAATTGATTTCATTGTCTTTAAATTCAATCTTTTTTGTTTAAGTTTAGAAATTTGATCCTTGTTTATTTTTAGACGATGTGGGTTGGGTTTGGGTTTCGAAACGATCGCGCCATGACGGTTGTTATTGTTATTGAGTGGATTGCGGAATTTATTCGCTTTTATGGTTCGTTAAAAAAATGATAACAGAAACAATCCTTCCACCGGATTCCAATCCAGATGGAATCCCGGCGACCTTGAGCTCTATCGGCTATTTACTAGGTGAAATTCTTCGAAAACCAGTCGTGGCGGGTATTTAACTTTCCAATTTGCGCGAAAACCCAGCAGCCACTTTCTATATTCAAATCAATGGAATTCTTTGGTGATAAAAAGAAAAATTTTAATCAAAAAATTACTTTGTTTT